CGACCCTTCGAAATACATAGGAATATGTATAAACCTGCAGTTGTGGGATAGAATATGCATAATAGATTTTAGCATTCTTAGCTAATATTATGTTTAGCTTTTCAGTTATAATGTCCATCTCTTTAGAATTTAAACCCCAAAGCTTTTCAGAATTTGTCGGGCCTAATGTGAGAATAGCAAAGGGTACCACCTTAGGTGCATTCTTAACTTCATCGTGCTCTTCTGTATAATGGATAATAAAAGCACTCATAACTGCAAATAGAAAGACGCATACCAACAACATCAACGAAATTAGAATAGTCACTGTTGCACTAGTGGCAATTTTATCCAAATGATGGGTCTTTATGGCCAAGGTAAAACTAGATCGATCTAAAAGAGGTAAATTTCCTGTGCTAGTATGAATGAATGCTTTCATCTCTTCCTCATTTATTTTGCCCAGAGATGACGCCACTTCGACATACGTTCCGTTCTGATAGATAGAATAAAGGAGATAATCCATACCCTCTGCCTTCATATGCTCATCAAGTGCTGTTTCGCTTATGATATAACTCACATTAAGGCTGATAGTCACAAAACCCCAGAAATTTTTTAGAGACAACGAATCTGATTCGATTCCAGTCGCATTGTACACAGGTTGACATATCTGTATCGTCCACAACTTCTTTCCTGAAGGAAGTTTAGTGTGCCGTGGACCGTTGAATGTGGCAACACCCAACAACATGGTTTCTTTCGGAGTAGGACCAATTAATTCTTTGGAATAATCCTCTATGAGCATGTCGTTGCCCTCGATAATACTATCTGTTGGGTAAGTAAAATACACCACACCACCAGGTGAAACCGTTTGTAAAGCAATGGTTGGCATTTTTTTCGCAATAAAGGAAGCAATAATTTTAAGCTTTGGAAAAAATTGGTCCTTCACCCGTTCATTGGGTGGGTCTAAGATATTTGGCAACCTCTTGAGATCGCTTATTATGTAACCCTCAAATATTCTGGAGGCCTCAAGTGCAGCAATCATGACATTACGAAACCTTGTCGACCATATATCTTCAATAACATTTTCCCTTTTCACCGCCTTAAATTGATTATTGTAATCGATGTTTCTCATCACGATCAGCGATGCAGTAATGCCAGAACATAGTATGAGAAGACATAAGATAGTGGCGATAGAAAAAAGTTTCCACCGCAGTGATTGGTGTTTGGAAGTCAAACCACTATTTGAGAATAGTCTTGTGTATCCATCAGTTCGCATGATTACAAATTTATATGCACTTTTTAGCCTTTCAAAGTTAATAGATATGTATACGAATAGAAGAATTCGTGCACCTTTTACCTTTTAAAATGAAAGGTTCACAACACAAAAACACTCAAAAAGGGTAGAGAATTGCATTATAATGGAACTCAAGTAAATTGTAATGATTTTTTTTTTTAAGTAGTTCAAATAGGAATAGATATGATTATTGAATTTTGAAGTTTTCCTTTTTAGAAGTATCTTGTTAATCTTCATGGCTGCATTTAGTTTATACCAAAACTAGTCAGATAAAGAGGAAGATGTAATTTAAAAAACGAAACACTTGCTACATGCAGAAAGAAAGGAGGTTTACAAATTTCAAATTTCCATTCTCCTGAAAAAAAATGTTTTTAGTGTGTTGTCTTCCCTTATAGTCACTAATACATACCAGCAACAGCACATATGCATATTCGTTTATGAGTCTTTTTTGCTGCTCAAAGGAAAGTTATAAACCCATAAACCCTGCTATTTTATGTGATAATAACTTTGATTGAATTCCTTTCAAAGAGGAGGATTCTAAGAAGGAACAAAACAAAAACTCAAGGTACAGATACAAGGTCACATGATTCCGAGAAAAATTGATAAGACCACAGTACTAAAAATTCCTTGTATACACACTAGAAATTGATGATTTTTTTTAGGTGAACGAAAAAAGATGTCGTCACTCATTCTGTCAATTTCTGTATCTGGTACACAATACCTTAGTAAAACTACTGATCTAATGTAATTTCTTAATTAAGCCTTATACATAGGATATGTATATTCACGTACTATATATGTCCTTATATGGATTTTCATACACGCAGAGACATTGTCATTATTATATTATTCTTATATATATATATATATAAGCTTCTTAACGCTGTAATCACACATTTGTTCTATACTACGATTTGGGCTTGATGTGACTATCGAGAAATCCCTGAAGCTTCTTTGCAAGCCCATTCTGCACACGTTGCACCCTTTCCTTGAGTTCACGTTTATTCCTCAGCTCCTTACTGTCAAAGCAATCACTATTCAACGAAGAAAATCCACCAATATAAGGAGTATCCTGCGTCGAACCAACAAAGCCAAAACGGGTCGAATTCTCTTCATCTAGCAACTCGAAAAAGGGCATGCAAAGCAACTGACTGGCAGTGGGCCGGCACCGCGGGTCATACTGAAATATAGAAAACAGTACATCTAAGCATGCCGGTGAGGGTAACAAAAGTGGAGGTTGTGGAGAATGCGCAGAGGAAGATGTTGAGACAGAAGAATTCTGCCATCGTCTTGTGTATTGTACTCGACGGTTCTCCATCTCAGCAATAAACCAGCGACGAAAACCGCCATATTGAGTGTAAAGAAAACTGGGCTGAAAAAGTGCCTCTAGCCGCGCAGTGGAGGGGCCGCTATTACTAGATTGCTTCGAAGTACCGTAAGTCAAACCTGCCTCAATACGCTCCTTTATTTTTTGGAGATGTATGAGGTGGTTGCATGTTTCTGCAGGGAAGGCGTCAGACGAAACTTCGGTGATGGGTCCGAGAACCTCCGCAATCAAGGCGAGTTGCTCCAACTCCGTCTCGGCACTGCGGCTGTAACGTGTAGCACGTTCCTGCTCGTCCGCACTTCGGCGCTTGTAAAATGGTGGGTGATGAAGAAAGATCTGAGCGAGAAAGCAACCAATGGACCACACATCAACCTTTGTATTGTAAATTACACTCCCAAGCAACATTTCTGGTGGACGGTAAGACAAATTAATCATGCTTGGTGTCAGAGCTGCTCTGCCGGAGTCCTCAAAGGCACACAAACCAAAATCTGTCAATTTCACCGAACCATCCTTCATGAGAAGGACGTTGTCCGACTTGATATCTCGATGAATGATGCCCATTGCATGCAACTTTTTGGTGGCTATCACAAGGCTTCGAAAAATATAAGCAATCTCAGGTAAGATAAAGGGAAAGTGGCGCACAAGAAGTCCGGCTACGCTGCTGGAAGCGTAGTTAAAAACTAGAAAAATATCGTGGGCACCCTCTCGCGATATAAGCACATCTCGCAGCGTGATCATTTCTTTTAGTGGATCCTCCTCAACTCTGGCTCCAGAAAAGTGGGCCTCTTGCCTGTCATTTTTCCTAGTCAGTGGCTTCTCACCGTTTTCCCCTTGGGCTTCCTCCTTGGCGAGCCTGAAACGCTGTCGATTGATGTGCTGTAGGGCAATCACCTCCCGTAGCGATGTGTATGGAAACCCATCCAACCCACGTAGTACCTTGAGCCTTTTCAATGCCACAATATCGTTTGTGTGCTTGTCAGTGCCAATATAAACAACCCCATAAACACCCTCACTTATCTTTCGATCTAGCTGGTAGTGATCTTCAAGGACGCGCTTAACCATGCTGATATCAATTGCAGGAGGTGCAGAAGGAAGCGGCACCCGTGTAACACGATGTCGTCGGCATGGAGTGTCTGTCGCACTGTGATGCGCGCTAGGGGTGGGAGTTGGCGTGAGCATTCGCAACATTGTAGATATGGGGGAAGATGGTGAGGGAATTCCGCTTGCTTGGACTGGATGCGCAGATTCCGTTGTAGGAAGAGGTTGGACAGCCAATTGTGCAAGACTACGAGAGCTAGTTGAAGTGGGGGCAATAAAATGATGCGGCGAAGAAACAGACATCTTTGCAGACGTCGTGTTGGCTGCTGCTGGAACCAGTGCAGTTCCTATTCGAGTGCCATGAGATCCATGTGGTCCACATGGACTAAAGACAAAAAGGGAACCAGTGGGCTCATTTACAATATTTACAGAATTTGACTCTTTACCCTCGACAATCTTTACGTTAAAACCCAGTGATAGCGTTCGATGTCGAGGCGGGGGCAGATCAGAAGAGTTCGAAATCCCTAAATTATTGGCAACGGCATTACTGGTTTGTTCTTCATCTTTATTATCACTTTGGCTTAAATCCCTCATATTTATACCGCTAGCTCCAGGAAGGGGTGTCGTCTTTTCAACAGCAAGGGGAAAAGATAAGTATTCAGCCCCCTTGGTCGATACCTCCTTGTCACCCATTTTGCCTTTCACTTTACTAGAATTTTCGTCTCTGTTTTGTTTGGGGTTGGAAAGGGAAAGTCTAAAATGTCGCCTAAGGTTCTCAGGTTGTCCTAACATACTGGCTTCTTGAGAAGCACCAAAAGGAGCAAAAGAAGCATTAAATTCATTCTCCACTGTTGTATTATCAGCGTTGTTTCTTGATGCAGATGCAGATACTTGCGTAAGGCGAAAAGAGCGCGGCCGATGCACATCGGGAGTGTTGTGTAGTCGTGAGTTATGAACTATCAGTTCCTTCATTTCATCCACTTCCTCAACTTCATTAACATGCTTGTCAATATTTAGTTTTAAAACACCAGGAGTGACCTCCTGTTTCTTTTCTACCGAAGTAACCTTATCATTAGTCTTGCAAAAGATATCTGCTTTATCTACAGTTACAGTATCACGACTTTCTTGAGTATGGAGCCGTTTGTCATGAGAGGGGTCCCGCGACACAGGGCCGCTAACGAGGTGTTGTGGATTCTGTGGCGTCACATTAATGGTATCTGTATTAGAAAGACAAAAAAATGTATTGCACGCCGCAGTGGACACGGGAACCTGCTGTGATGCCTTTGATATAGTAGTGATAAACTCCCTACCGACACCCAATTCGAATTTTTTCTCAGTACAAGCTGTAGCGTCAAACAGTGCCTTGCTGTCAAGCTTAGATTGGGCCTGATGTGAAACCTGTATTTCCTGGAGTGGGGAAGGCTCAAGGAGAAAACAAGTATCCTCTCCCACACCTTGTTCATAAACACATTGACTTCCTTGTAGTTCTATTTTTTTTTTCAGCCTTCTCTTGACTGTACCCCTCTGCCTCTTCACTCTCTATAGCTTTATGTTCTGCTACATCCCTTAGATTTCTGCCGGCTATGAGTCGCTTGCGTCGGTGGGCTCGTCGCTCCTCCAAGTCCTGTCGTGTATTACATGCACTCTGAACACCCATAAGGCTCTGAATTGCCTTGGATACAACTGAACCTGTGCTACCTTGGGAAGTTGCAGTAGTATTACCGGCATCGTCGATAGCAGCACTTACTCCAGAAATACAAGAAGAAGGGAGCCACACGTGAGGGAGGCCTAATGTTGTCACACTGTGCGAAAAGGTCAACGGATTTCCTATTTCCTGCTGTGTCTCCATATGTTTTTTGTAGTCTTCCGCTGTTATATCATTGTGAGTAACTGACGCAGGCGCCAAGTTCTGGTTATTACCGCTTTCTTTATTGCTGACGATGGAAGTGTGTGTTACACTACTTTTATTGGTTGGAAATCTTCCCTCCATACACTAAGCTTCTTCGTCTTTTCTTAACAGTATGTGCTACCCTTAAAAAGGATATGCTACTGCAAGTGAAAAAGGATTAATAGCAGTAAGTTAGTTTGACTGCCTCTTGCTTAATGCGAGTATAAAGTGTTTCCTGTTACATATGTGCCCCTTTTTACCTACTCCCCAACTGTCTGGTATGTGAAAAAGAACAAACTTGCCACCAAAAATAAAGACTGTATTTATCTACCTTACGATGGATCTTCTTAAAAGTTGTCTATCTCTCTTAAAATTAAAAGAGATTTACTTTCGATTTTTGTATCGTTGAAAAGTATCTATAAATAAAATACTATAGTACTAGACACTCAAGATAATAATAATAACGATGTAGTAGCACTCAGATATTCAATAATATAGGTAACAAATAAAAATAGTATGCCTTTGTCAACTATTTACAGTATTTCAGAGATCGCTAGTATGTAAATGCAAGAAACGAGAGGAAACCAAAAATAAAAAGGTATATATCGCACACAGCCTTATACTTGCTTTGGATACATCAGGCACAATGTATTAAAAAAAAAAAAGTCATATTACTAATTGAGAAGATTAATACTTATCCCCTTTTCCTTCCTATTTTTATTAATAAGAATATCTCTAGTAAATGTTGTATAGTTAGTGTTTTACCAAAGGTGTCCTTTCGAAGAAAGTATTATGCCCACATTATTTTAGCTCCCATCCCTCGAATCCAGATACACAAACTCGGTTTCACATTACAGTATATTTTATTTAAAGTGTCTATTACGCCACCGGTAGGTGATAACCATGCCCACCAAAAAGTCTGGTGCTACCCATCCCAATACTCACCCCATTCAAATTAAAACACATGGCTATGTCGACTTCCTCTTTTTCTTGTATTTGGTTGTCTTCATAGAGACAGTTGTGTTCATTATTATTCTGGGGGATGCTGCTGTCACTAATACACGAAAATGAAGACTGGTCATTTGATCTTAAATGCTCTCGCAGCACCCTATTAATATAAGTATCTTCCTCTGTACGATGATCCTGACACATTGGATGCGCATTATTGTTGAATGTACAGTTACTTTCATCATAAGGACCTAGTTCATATTTTTCGTCTTTATCAGCCCACATACTTTTTATGCGCTCTGCCGCGACCTCAAGTTCATCCAAATCATTGACTATTTTTAGTGCAATCTGAAAGTCATTTTGAGTAACTTTAACTGTTTCTATGGAATCCGACACTGATTTTTTGTCGCTAAGGCATCCCCGTTGCTGTTGGTATAGGTCTTGGTGTCTCTGTAAAATCACAGGAATCACAGCAGCTAACATGCAGCGGTTCCATAAAGGCATTTTGTTGAATTCCATCATAAATTCACTATCATAGTCTATAAAGAAGTCTGCAGCAGAACTCGCTAGCTCCTCAGTGATCCTTCCGAAAGGCATTAATCGAGCCTCAAAGACAAAAGTCATCTAGTATACCTATCAAGCTAAAAAATATATTACCTTTGTACAAGTCGATTAAGTGTCTTGAAAATATGCGCACAAGTAGAATGAACAAAAAAAGAAGATCTAATAATATATATACTTATTTATTTTAAAAAAATGGTCAATACTATGAAGATAAAGACAAATAGATAAAAGAAATATATGCATTAAAGCTCATATAGAAGGAATGTATGCAATGTTGATCTTGTTAAATTATATTAATAAGTATAATAAGTAAAATTTTTGAACAATAACAATGGATGTAGACATATCTTCCTCTCCTTGAACATTCTAAACCTTTACTATGATCTCTTTTTAAAGGTAAGGCTTATGTTACCCAGTAACCCAAAATGCAAAAAAAAACATCTAGTTTTATTAAGCGTATATTTTATTATTTTAAAGTGCAATCAAGGGTAAAGTTGCTCGCTTTCGCGCCCAAGACAACAAGCTGCAAGAAACTCCATTCATAGGACCTGCATGTTTGCGCTCTGATTCCATATTTCTTAAGGTACTACCTCGGATGCGTCCCTCAAGAACGTTAGGATACGAAATAGAGCGTACAGAATTCTGTACCGCCAGTTGCACTAACTCCTTCATTTTTTCATTTTTTGCATTGATGCAGCTGTAAGAGAATCCAGTAGTAGATGAAGGTAATCCCAATCTGGCGACTCTGGCGCAACCAAAGTTGCCATCCCCCATAAAGGATGGCGAACTTGCCGAAAGCATAGAAGTTGTTACGTTCCTCATTGTCAAAGTAGTGGTAAAGGCAGAAGAAGAGTCCGCGGGTGGCTGGAAAGGTCGACGCCTGCGAGGGTAGTGCTGTGGAGCAGTGACCTCAAACACCGCGTTGAATTGTGGAGGACTCGGAAATGACAGCTCCACTATGGGACCATGAAAAGCTGCATAAAGACATCCCAAGAACGACACACGATGCACCTGTACAATGCAGTCAATACACAAAACATCTGCAGGTATGAACAGTTTGGCAGGCAGGAAAGATAGAAGTGGAAGACAACAGCCCAAATCCAAAGAGAAGCGCTGATCTTCGTAGCAGATAGGTATGCTAAAGCAACGCAGTGGAAGCGGAAAAGGAACCGCGGCGTTGCTTAATGTGCCCTCCACCTCTGGCGAAAATGAAGGCACTACTACCTGCTCGGAGGGCGGAATGATGGATGCATTTGACTTTGTTCTCTTCAGGACATCGCACTCTACTCCAGCTCCTGCTTTCACTTTCGGATCAGACTTACCATTTCCGGAAGTAATCTCTGGTGCGGGGTCCGATGTCACTGCAGTAAAGGACGGCAGCTCAACTGAAACAATATCCCCAGCAAGACGAGGAATGGCAACCCCAACACCAGGAAGCGAACCAGTACTACTGCTGCTAATGTTGCTACAACCAGTATAAGCCGGGCAATCGTGTGTTTTACTTTCATCAAGAAAATTGTTTGTGCTAACGGGGGTTTTATCGTTTCTTATTGTCGAATTCCCTCCACCATTATTTCTCAGTGAAAGATTTTTAACAACTTTTGCAGATACCGCAGCCCACGTGGAGGCCAAGTTGGAAGCTCCCTTGATGTTTCTCTTCATGGCATCAATTGTAGAGTTTGGTATCCCAGAGACACTCTTCTGCGCTACGTATAGGCTAAGACCTAATTCAAGGTAAAGTACATCGACATGTGGACGATGCCCAACTGCACCTGTTTTTACAGGTGTTGCCGTCAGGGGGTCCGGCGACCTGTTCGTTTTTGCAACCAGGGAGCGATTCACACGAACAACACAGCACTCCAGGGCGTACTGCAGGCGATCGGACCACACATCAATGTTGACAGTTCCACCACCCATAATCAGAATGCCCAACCAACGGCTAACTACATTCACCCAAAGCGCACTTTCTTTCCTCATCGAACTATATGTCCCCTGAAAATCGTTTCTTGAATCATGCTGCTGTCTTGTGAGTCTTTGTCGCTTACTAAAAACACTTCTACAAGCATTATAACTGTTGTGTGCCTCTGTTAAAGATCTGGTTTTCCCCCTTCTAGTAGGACTCCGTGCGAAAACATCATCTAAACCTAATATGCCGACACGGATATGTCGATAGACCATCGCAATACTGCTTTCCTCGCCCCAATAAATAATAAATGACTCCCACCAATTTACTGGCCTTTGCGGTCGATCGTTGCTAATTTCAGAGGAATTCAACTCAGATTCCCCATCATCCTCTACTGGAGCGGTAAGAAAAAAATAATATGCCAATAAAGCACAGATACCGATGCTTAAAATAAACTCTACTATGAAACCTAACATCTTTTCAACATGACCAGCTTATATTCTAAACCAACTTGCTTACGTTGCTTTGGGTGGTACAAAAGGAGTATTGTTAAGCAACTGATCGGTACTTACACAAGGACGTATATATCCGAAAGATTTTCAAAGGAAACACCAGTGTATAACAAAGATAGATAGATTTTTTTTCAATCTTACTTATTTTTTTAGATGTTCTTTTTTTAAACAATAGTCGAACATGATATCTTTTTATCAATCTAACTTCCTAGTTCTTCTTTATGATCTGAAAACGCACATGATTTATCTCCCCTTTCTTGGTAAAGTAGGGTAGTGAATATATTCCATTTTCATTTTTATTGATTAAATCAAGACAAGTCATTTATATAAAATAAAATAAAAACAAATACACTGAAAAAAAATAACAATATTACTACAAGGATCTCTTACACCGAAACATATATACGGCAGGTAATTTTAAGAGTAATTTAAAAAAAAATCCACAATGGAAAAAATGAATAAGAAACAGAGTGACTAAACTTTTTTGATCAAATTCAAGTTTACAGGTAGTAAAATTTTGTTAACCTAGACATCTGGTCAAATGAGATTCTTTCAAAAGAATTAGATAGTTGTTTTTTTGAGTCAACACATTCAGTCCTAAATTATTTACTAATATTGTGGAAACAAAAAGATGAAATTAAAAATAAAATTATAATAACACATATAATTGCTTATTTGCTTTTTGGGGGGGAGGGGAGATAGTGAGAAAATAAATGGCATATAGACTACCTTCATACGCATTACATACACTAAATAGCAAAAAACAAAAGGCTACATAATTTCATTACTGGTCCTAATCTTATGCGATGGACTATATACTTGACTGAATACTGGGCATAAGTTATTGAAGCATGCAGACCAGAGTTACTTCTGTCCTTTTATTTTTAAAAAAGTGTTGCTACTCTGCGCAATACCTCTGAGTTCCTCCCCTTTCTTTCTCCCAATTATTCGAAATCCGCAGCTTCCTCAATCCTATGTTTATCTTGAATTGCATCGAATACACCTCAGAGTAATGTCATCGAACTCACTGCTGTGAATATAGAAACACACAAAATTAAGAGACTCTGATTAAAGTAAGAGCATTCCACACACGCACGTGATATGTTCCATATTCTTGACAATGAGAACAAAGTCATGGAAATGGGCGCTGAATAGCTTTGGTGCATAAACAGTGGTGATGGACATCTCAAAAGCACAACCAAGCGTGCTCGTCAGAAGTCAACCAAATCGACGCATGGACCCCACGTAGTCTCTTACAGACGAACAGCACCGAGAAGTATGTAGCGAAAGATACTAACATTAGCACCATTGTGTAGTGTCAGCTAAGTTAATACATAAGAGTATCGACAAAGGAAAAAAACTCTAACAAAGGTAAAGCATAAACTCAGATAACAGAAAATCTGATAGTTTAGAATAGATTTTAAGATACTGGAAAACACTTCTATAGGCTCTTTCGTTGTCGCAAATAGAAAACGAAAAAACATGACAAGAAGTCCTAACTGATAAATAAAATATCTTTCGCCGCTGAATATTCCTCATAGAGTCAAAAATTTAAATTCAAACCTCGGCTTTAGATAATAACGAGCTGAAAGATATAAGTTAAGTGCGACTTCAACTAATCAAACTAACATGAGGTGATGTTAGGTACCTGTATCTTCCTTAAATAAGTTGTTTCAATCATTGGAATTATGCGTATCAGGAACCAAGACACACATGCTTCACTGAAAGAAGTTGTGAAGTATAATCATTAGAATCTCTTTTTCATATTTATTTCGATATCTCTGCTCCTTCTTCACGTTCCGGGGGACAACTACTAAGAACCATCAAAGTCAAGGAAGTATGACTGAATAAAAAAGTAGTTGTCTGTGACACGGTAATTGTTGAATTTCATCTGCATTCGGTCCTTACAAACATCGAAAGGAAACAAAAGAATACGAAAAAAGACATCAATATCTCCAGGAAAAATGTATTGAGTGTCATCTGTCTAGTTAGTGATAAAATCACTAAAATAAATCTCATAGCATGTACACAGCGTAGGAAAAGATAAAGTAACGATATGAAAATGTCGCGTAATCATTTAGACTGAATACTAAAGACAAGGATTGGTTGTGACAAAACACGCCTAAAGACATTCTATTAGCATTTAGAAAATGAGAAAAAAAAAGTCCATGGCGCAAACCTTCAGAAGGACTTCCACAAGATTTATGAACCGGGAAGTCAGTACTACGGCGTGCACGCTTACGTGTCCAATCATCACAGAAAAAAAAGTTCTCCATGTGGTGCTGGAAATAAAAAACAGCAAGATGGTGAACAATGCTTGTGACAGAGCCGCTCCAAAACGGATATCTAAGACAGCTTTCAGGATAAACCCAATTCGGTCTTCTATACCAATAAACAAATTAAGAAGTTCATAAGCGCATTTTTATCTACTCCTGGATATCTTACTTTTCCTTACAGTCATATATAGGTTTATCGGTACGAGCACTAATATCAAGATTTAATCTTTGATTACACACACTTTTATAGGAATTCAAATTAAAGAAAAATAAATGAAATAAGTATGAAAATGTGATGGGGAAATTGAATCTTTAACAAGTAATCCTCTTATCCCTTTCCATATTACAATTTTAGAAAAATTAAGGGCCGTTTTTCCTGACAAAAATAGCGCATCCAGAAATCCCAGGATGTTCCTAGTCTTAAAATACTACCCTCCATTGGATACATTGAAGACGCCTCAGGGAAGAAAAAAGCTTTGCACAAATAAAAAAATGTTTTTTATTAGCACCGCTCAATATTCACAATAAATAGTGGGAAAAATCAGCAGCATATCAAAGCAGTTTCTAAGGTGATTTATTCTTTATCAGGTTTTTTTTCTTGTTTCGTTGACTTTTTTTTTCGTTTGAAACATCTGTGGAGCAGCAACCCCGACAACCACACACAGTGCATGCAAAAAAGTGTCTGTTATTGCGTTCAGAAATTGGAACACGGCATATACAGGTTGAACTATTAGCCTTTTTTTGATTAGTTGAATCTAAAGCGTGTCGTTGCTCTAGTTTGTTGCGCAATGCATATTTACTCGTTATAGACGCGGCCACGCTAGCAGCACCAGGAACTCCACATGATGTACAACATAAATGTTCGTATCCTGGTAGTCTCCAGCGCCGTAACAAACCTACATCTATAAACTGCATCTCGCAACAGTAGTCATAAACTTCCTTGCTGATAGTTTTCAGGCGAAAAAAGGCATCAAAAACGTAGCGTGTGCGCTCATAGTTGATTTTGGCAATTCGCCACAGCGGTGGAATACGCTCAACGGTATGCTGATCGTTGTGATCGTTCTGTGATGACTCTTCAAAATTATTTACTTCATTATCCTCAGCATCGTTTATGTTATCCTCTGCGTGTACTCCTTCTACTCTTCTGCGCTTTCCCTCTGCAAAGCTACTATTGTCTTTAGTTCTACGCGGACAACTCGTCTGCCCAACTACTCCATCAGATTCCGCTTGCAACGCAAGCTTCATTGCATCCTCATAGGTATCTAACACGTCATTGATGACCTCAAAGCCTGGTGGTGGCTTTTTCATTCCCGGTCGTATTCTAGGCATTTAAATAATAATCGTTTTCTAAGTGGATATCCCTGCTAAACCTTTGTAAAAAGAAATCAAAACTTTGAAGTCGAAATGGTTAAGCTTTTTTAACAAGGCAAACGCTCCTCAATGACAAAGAGGTAAAAAATCACACCTTGTGTAAATATGGAGATTTATGTAAAAGGAATAGAGGGGAAAAAATAGAAAATATAGAGTAATAGATCCTTGTAATTCTGAGAATTAAAGAATGTAAGGGATTGGAGTTCTCAAAAAGATCCATAAGCCATACTGTCAGGCTTTACCAATATTTGAATGTCTTTTATTTATCTATGCTATTTGAGCAAATGATCGGACAGCAAGTTTTTGATAATTAAACATTTCACGTGTTTTATTGGCTTCGCTAATAACAATTTTCAAGCTCTCCTCCCCCCCCTCCCTTCAGTGATGCACTCTATCGTAGTCCTCAAATGTCACAAGAGTATGAGTAAAAGATTTAATACAATCACCACCCGATAAAAGTGCAAGTAACTCCATAAATTGAGTCGGTCCTACTGGCTTCAGAGCTCCACTGTGCTCATTAAGTGCCAACCGTAGCTCCGATACAGGCGCTGCATGCAATCCGCGGGACATGTACTGTCGCACCACGACCTCCTCAAGGCGACGCATGCAGCTTTCCATGGTATTCTTAGTTGGGTCTGGGGCATGGAAGATGTCCAAGTTAATCAAACCTGTCCGCGGATCCGTCGCGGCCTCTTTTAGGGCCTCACTTATTAATCGCTTCGCCTCTAGTACATCATCCACGGATACCTCAGGACTGTAGCGCATCTTTGCTCGAGCCTCGGACAGCCGAATCATCGATTCTAACTGTCGTAGAGTAGCAGAGACGGTCTGGCTCCCACGAGAGCGGCGCAGCTGCATGTACGACGTGGCGAGCTGCTTGTGAGCCGCCTCCGTAAGCCTTGGAAAGACAGTCTCACGTGCGATGGCAATGTACTTGGAGAGAATTACAGTAGGCATATACGGGCGCTGTGAGGGTCCGAGTAGAAAAGCCTCGCCCTCATGCTGAAGGAGGACCTCCACTCGCTGACCAGTTGCGGGATCGACGTAAGTGCACTTTGGCGTAGGAAAACGCCCTGTGCTTGCTCCTGTTCCTGCGATCAATGGGGGGCGCTCTTTGTCATCTCTGGTAATCTCCTCATCATTGCCACTATGCCTGTCAGTCACCAAACGTAACGGTCCCTGATCTGAAAATGTATTAACCGCTTCGTCGTAATGATCCATATACAACGACAAGACATGGGAAGCAAGACGTCGATCCTCGTTGATGTCATGCCGGTCTAGAAGCAAAAATATTAAATCAAAGCGTGATAATAAGGTTGGCTCGATCTGCAGGTTCTCAACAACATTGAGGTTCGGATTCCATTGGGATTCCTTTGGGTTTGCGGCAGCTAGAATTGACGTGCGAGCATTTAATTGGGCTATAATTCCAGCTTTAGCGACAGACAGCGTTTGCTGCTCCATGACCTCGTGGAGTACAGAGCGTGTGGCCTCGTTCATTTTGTCAAGCTCATCGATACAACAAAGGCCTTGGTCAGACAGAACTAGAGCACCTGGTTCAAGAACATGCTCTCCCGTGTCGTGATCTTGTACTACAAAAGCGGTCAGACCAACACTGCTACTGCCTTTACCTGAGGTATATACCCCTCTCGGAGCAATTTCGTGTACTTGTGTGAGAAGTTGAGATTTAGCTACACCGGGGTCCCCACACAAGATGACATTAAGAGATGATCGAAAATTGGCACGGTTGTTAGAGACGGCACCTGACTGAGATGGACCAGGATCAGAAAGATGGGCAACACTTTTGCTGTCCCTATCAGTTTGAACGTTTTCTGGACGGCAATTAAAAACAAAATTCTTGGGAGTGCCACCGAAGAGTTGAGCCAATATACCTCGTTTGACATCTTCATGACCCCAAATACTTGGGGCGAAAGAACGAATGAGAATATCATGAATGTCAGGACGATGCGCCAGTAGGTGAAACATATCTAAGCGAGCCGTATCTTTCGAGTCCATGTCGGAAAAACTGGAGTTACGTTTGGAATCACATACACCTCCTCTAACGATACCCTCCGACGAACTGGATACCATTGTGCATGATTTTGGTCGAAGCTCCCCTCCACTACTACTAGGTCCACTACCTAGAGAAGCCGTGCGTGATAGCTCGATATGTATTGCATCCAAATGTGTAGAAAAAATGCTCTTTATGATACGAGTATTCGAATTGAGACGAATGGGAGTAGATCGGTAAATACCAGTCACTACCACGCGGTCTCCGGGTACCACAGAGTCCACAAGCCCACTGTATACGACAAGGGAGATAGAAACCGGTGTCTCAGCATCAGAGACGTGTTCAGGTGATTCCTGCAGTTTGATCAGCTGCTTATCCTCGTAAATTGATAAATTATGCTGCAATCTGAACGAGTAGGATTGTCCACAGTGATTGCAACGGGTAGGTTCAAAAATTTGGCCTTTGTCACCACTCACACTGCGCTCAATGTTATGGCACTGCCAGCACTGAAAGCAAGCAACTCGAATCTCAGGAATAATTTTTGAGACACGTATTACCATTCCTTTGATACTTAACAGCTGCTCGATGTGATGTGGAGAAAGCTGCTTGATGGTTATGAGAGTGGGCATCCTTTTAGCGGCCAGGTACAGAATAAAGTCATCTGCAACCTTAATCCCATGGCAGTGTTCCAGTACCCCACGGTAAAGATCCTCAGAAACGGCCGTCATCATCTGTAGGCATTCAGTAGGGTGATTGACTGTCTGTTGGTATAATACTGGAGCAGCCTGCTGCAACCAAGTAAGGTCAATTTCAAGCGTGTTTCGACCCCGTAAATGCATAGAGAGCATCTCCCTTAAGTAGTACCGCTCCCCCGTACCACAGCCCTCTACACTCGCCGTATGAGCTGAACTGCCACCACCCAAAGTGGAAAACAGGGTTCGGTTATTGTCTGGCTCAGTAACAGTATTTCTTCTAATAAAGTGATATGAGTCGATTGGGGATTTCATAAGCCCTGGAAGCTCAAAAGTTTCCAAATAACGCCGAAAATCCTCTTTGAACTCCTCAAGAGCAATGTTTGTACCCCATATGTAAGACAAATCCTCCCGACGATGGGGATATGTAGACGCAGAAAATACAGGCGTACTAAATGTTTCATCGTTGTTATTCTGTAGATCCATGGTATGATCATCACGCTCTTCTGTTGAGGGTCTCCGTGGCCGTAAGGGAGTTAAGTCAATTAAGTGATCTGCATCCATGGGTTATTCGTAAGCAGCCTAATTGCACTTCTCCTTTGGTATTCTATGTCTAGATGTCTCCTCTTTCTCTCCTCTATAAATATGTAGAATGAGAAAAGTTTCAAAGATTGTCTTCTATTTTTAAGACCTTTAAATGAAAAAAGATTACAAGAAAAGAAGGTCTTAAGTTGAACTATAGCATTTAATAGATTATTCACCCCATTTCCATACTTTTTTATTATTCAGAGGAAGAGAGGAAATAAATAAAGACAGATAACTTAATTGTGGAAAAACAGATCATCAAAAAGTCAACCAAGCAAATATATTTATGTGCTCAAAATATTCAGCTATTGTATTGTTCATTTTCACATAAGCGTATTAAAAATCACATTATTAAAACGTTAAAAATAACATTCTAATCATAAATTATAAAAATAAACAAAAAATAAAACTTACAATTTATCCACCAATTTAATTCCAACACAAACAATTGATAAGATTCCATCTTAAGCACGTTTCTTCTGGAACGGCCATCTCGTTTTCTGCAGAAGCTCAGGCTGTTGTGAACATTTTTTTTATTATTCACATAACCAATCTTAAACCTCATATAGATTTGTTTTGAAGTAAATTTACAAGAATATCTTGATCCTTTTTCAGTGCCTCGTATTGAGCCCTTGTTACAGCACCATCACCTCCATAGGCCTCATAAAATGCACTGTAATCAACCTCATCAATTTCGGCATAATACCATCTCACCGGTGGTCCATACGCGCGAAGCAATGATTCAGGTATCCGTGAACCAGCAGTAGAAAACCCTGTTTGTCTTTCTAATTCTTTTTGAGACCTAAAAGAAGTGTAACAGAACCTGTTAATTATAGGTCCTGGATCGTGAAAGAATGCTACGCGCTGCAGCCACATGGAAGATATGTAGACAACGTTGTCTTTATTCTCCTTACACTCCACTTCAGTATCGTGGTGGTGCCGATGTGAAGTATGGTTTCCACTCTTCCTGGTCTTTTCTGAGTCATCATCGCAACCTTCCAAGGTTATTCGGGACTCCAGCAAGTAATAGCGCGCTTTATCCCGCAGTTGCACAAATTCCTCTGTAAGCTCCATCACAGGCTGACAGCGATACGACAATAGGTACTCTTCAGAGTCAGCGACACTACTTAAACTCACCGCTTCTATTTCGTCATCGTTTATCTGGAGCCACAGATCTTTGTTGTTCAATCTTTTGTGGGTAAAAACAGCGTAATGTCCACTGGTAATAGAACCGTGGTGATTGACAATCCCATCTAAGGTGTAAGTCGAAGGAATTAGTTGACTTTCTGGAAGAACTGAAACCATTGTATCATCATCCTGATCTTCACCATTTGTATGTAAACATGATTGAATTGGATTTACATTTGCATTTACTGTTGGATGCATGTAGGGTCGCAAGTCCAGTATTTCAAATCGCAATTTCTGTATTTCCTCCCATGGCGTCCCATTCTTGAATGGAGTCCACGATACAGGAAAGATCACCGGGTCGGAGTTTTTGCCCTTGGCAAAAGTATTCATTTTAAAGCGTTTCATGTGAATAAAAAGGTACTCAGGTAGGGACAGCAAGAACTCGGATTTAGTTGCCTCATGTAATCCTCCACATGATTCGCATTGATACTTATTCCCTCCTTTCAATTCCACAGGCTCAAAATGAATGTCGAGGCACTCCTTCAGCGTTAGTGCATAGTTAATACTACTGAAACAGCTAAAAATATAGTTGTAAAACCGTCTGTAGAAGTAGTAAAAATGAGACAGGGGGTTCCACCACGTAACATCAGGGTGCTTTCGGTTTTGAAATAACTTTCCGTTTGCATCAAGACGCTTAATATTCGGGTTGCGTTTGGCAAATTCGTACCGTTGTCTTTGCGAAGGAATTTCCAATATTAGAGAACTAAAGCTATTCACCACCCTGGAGACATTGGAACAGTTGTGGCAACGGATCTCAGACAACATGTAGCCCTTGAAGCCTCCTGTGGTAGGATTGAATACGAGGCGTGGTGGGTAGAAACTATTCCTTGGGTCGTAGGTCTTGCCTTTGCGCTCTGCTGCTTTTCGCTCCAATTCACGATTCTCCTCGTTGACTTTTTGCATGAGGCGGAGAATGGCAATGAAATGGGCACTGCGAGGACCTGAGAATATTTCTCTAGAACAGACAGATGACGGCCTTGTTTGATCCAGTAAGTTGTGGTCCATCGAAAATTCCATAGAATTTGAATTGGGAAAAGAACCAGTCATGTTTATTGACCTATTCCCCATAATATGAAAATCATTATTGAGGCGCAAGGTTTTTTTTTTCTCGTACGTTTGCGCAGAGACTTCAAAGGATTGCAAGAGATCATTCACTTCAATCTCAAGCCTGTAAACATCCTCAATGGTTACCAATACGGCGTCAATCATCTCCGGGCAGTCCTGTTGCCTTCTACCCTCAAAACTAGAAAATACTTTTGCGAGTTGGTCCACCACACGGAAAGGCGAAATTGACTTACCCTTTTCAAGTGTTTCATATTCCATATTGTACAGAAGGTTCGCTAGAAGCTGAAATAATGTGTGCTTATCCGTGTTGTTGGGTTGATTAAATAAGAATAAGCTCTTTTGACACGTCGCATAGCAGTGCGGCACGTCGCGCAGTCCGAACACAAAGGCCGGACAGTTGGATAGTATTTGAATGCCTGAATTGAAATAGCACGTATTGCCTAAATTACATAGGGGGCAAAGAATTGTTGAGTTGAAGGCCACGTGCCGACTGGCCTTGGCCTCTCGCTTCCTGCGTTGAGCTGATGTGACACCATTGTAAATATTCTTTGATGGTAAGGTGAGTTGCGATTCCGCATCTACCTTATTATGAGAATCGTTTTTTTGTTTTGGAATTTTGGAAATAGTTCCTACTTTTTCATCGTCAAGGTCACTTTTTTGAGTCGCTTTATGACTTCTTAAATCCCTTTCCTCTGATGTTTTCCCTACTGGTAACTTAAAGTTTTGTACGTTCGATAATTCAAATGCATCAGAATATGACTCTTCAAAAACACGTGAACCGTTTTCCTTAGGTTCCTTCATTGTGGACAAGTTAATATTAACCGTATCAATGGGCTGTGAAAATAGAGTGCAAAAAAATGATTAAAGAAGGCTATAAAAAGATCTACAAGCAAGCAACAAGAAATATATATGTAGTTAAGTAATAAAAAAAATGCGCAGAAAACTTCAAATGTATAAAAAAAGGCTTTGATTTATTAAGCTTATATTATTTACAAGATCGATCCGAAAATGGGTAAAACTTAATCACTTCTCTAGTTTGCAGTCAGAAATGAAAAAAAAATTCAAAACAAGGAAACACAAAAGCAAGGATAAAAGTAACAATCAAAAAAAAGGAAGAAGTATTAAACTTTGAATCCGAAGGTGAAGTAGTGTGGAGAACAAAAGAAACCGTCTAGATGGCGATATCAGCTTTCGTAATTCTCTATTCCAGATCATTTTGTTAATCTTTCATAATATAAAATATATGTACCACAACGAATAAGCAAGATCAATAAAACAAGTGACTAAGCACTCTTGCTCTAAGCCATGTTACAAATGCTTATGGACATATTCGCTAATTGGTATTACTTATGGAAGGAAGATAAAAAAAAAGGACAGTGCTTCAGAAAAATAAAAAAGAATCTGCCCGCACTCACGTGTCTTGTTCTTTATCAACGACTTTTCCTTTCCTTCTTTCAATAGGTCCCACATCCTATACTTTTTACCCTTTTCCTAAACTTTACTTTACAATAAATACTTTGCAAGGTCAACATTTTTTTGCAATTTCTCAGTCGCATCCCTAACAACCTTCGCATCCACCAAAACTACCTTTCCTGCGTAGTCCTCACAATTAAAACTGTAAGTGTCCATGGTTCGCTCTAATATAGTATTTAGGCGACGGGCTCCGATATTCTGACCCTGTCTATTGACTGCACATGTTACCCGTGCTAATTCATGAATTCCATCTTCTGTGTATATTACCTCAATGTTCTCCGTCTTAAGGAGCTCTTTCTGCTGAATCAATAAGTTGTACTTGGGTTCCGTGAGAATACGGCGAAAATCTTCCTCAGTAAGGGGCTTCAACTCCACTCGCACCGGTAAGCGTCCCTGTAGCTCCGCAATCATGTCAGATGGCTTGGCAGCATGAAAAGCACCTGAACAGATGAAAAGGATGTTATCAGTGGAAATCACACTACCATCCTTCATAGTGACGTTGGATCCTTCCACCAGAGGTAGAAGATCCTGCTGTACACCCGTTGAACTTACGTCGCCATTGTCGCCTTTGGAAGAAGGGTCCACAACAACTTTGTCAATTTCATCAATGAAAACAATACCTTCTTCTTCAGCAAGGCTGCGAGATAGCGTGTTAACAGTGTTCTCATCAATAAGTTTCCCTAGCGCCTCTTGCATCATAAGTGATACTGCCTCTGATACCGTCTTAGTAACCATTATCTTTCTTGGTGCGGTAGAGCCGATGCCGAGAAGAATACCTACGGACTGCAGATCAACACCACCACTCAAAAGGGGCTTTTGGTTTGCCTGTGGAGCCACAATCTCCACCGTCACATTGTCGTCCTTGAAGATATCCTTGTAGTGTTCCTTGAAGTACTCCAGTGTTACCTTAGAAGACATCAAGAAGGGTCGTACATTATCAACCACATCACTGCCTTGCAGCTCATCCTTCGTTTCGTCCATATCTTCATCTTTACTTTTTCCTTTCGTTTGATCGTTTCCTTCACCGTCGTGGCTCGCTTTACGTCGGCCAGATGACTTACGCTTCGCTGAACGAGAGACATCCTCCTCATCAGCATCGTCGTTTTTTTCCACGCTAGTCATGCCTTCGGTCTGAGCTAATGAATCCGATACGATGCCACGCTGCTTTATGATCCAAGAGCTGTATACAGCATCCAATGCCATGTTAAGAGCTTCTTCTTCACGCTCTCTCTCAAGCACCTTTTTAGCCTTCACCTTTGCATTAGCATAAAGTTCCTCGATAATGCTTTCGACATCCTTGCCTTTGAAGCCAACCTCAGTATATTTGGTGGCCTCAACCTTCACAAATGGAGCATCAGTGATGCGTGCCATGCGGCGAGATATCTCGGTCTTACCAACCCCTGTGGGACCAACCAGAAGCATATTCTTTGGCAATATTTCTTTGCGCATATGTTCATCTTTCAACTGACGCCGCCGCCACCGATTCCGAAGTGAGATCGCGACTGCCTTTTTCCCATTAAGTTGACCAACAATATATTTGTCGAGAATTTCTGTGATTTTACGTGGTGAAAGGGTGTCGAGTATGTTTTCCTGCGCATTCAACGCTTCCTTCGGTGAAATTGTGTTGACAGCAACTGAACCAGTCAAAAGGCGACGGCCTACAAAACGAAACATTATCTAAAATTGTGTATATCACTTCTTACTCCTTGTATGTTCGAAAACTCTCTAACCTTTCCTTTAAAGAGTTTATATAACCAGGGTCTTTCTCTCTATATAGAGAGATAATATAAGATCGAAATAATAATAATAATAATAAATTCACCCCAAAACATATTGACCAGCCCAGAAACCAATTCGAATAGTAAGTTTATCCGTATATGCGCGTGCATATGTATGTAGTACTCCTATACGTTCTGCTTATGTCATTAGAACTCCAATCACAGATTATACACATGATTGGAAAATATACAGTTCCCAGTCGCACTTAATTTTTTTTTAACGTAATAAATAGAATTTATTTTTTTTATAAAAGATCCATGAGCATCTTTATCTCAAAATAGTTCTTTCGGTTTTGCCTCTTATATACTCAAGTGAAGAAAGAACTATAAACCATACATAACATGATAAAATATATTATATTTTTATTACCATTAGAACCATCTTTAGTTGTTGTTTTGTCATATAATATACAATTGACATAGCATACACCCATGAAGTGGTGTGCAAAAGGGCTTTCCCTCTGAAACTATACATCTGCATATGAAAAATAAAAAATAGGATGAGGCTCAGTTTCCCCCACATGTAAGAATATACCCTTCCTTCATACCAGTTGCAGCTTCATTTATTGTTACACTTTCCACTTGTCCCTTGCAATGTAACTTGATTTACATGAAGGGTTCAATGTAGAAATCAATCGCCGAATATGTCCTTCAATATATGCCAGGAAACAAACGTGCACGAGTTAGCTTGATAACGTTAATACGTTCTAGTAATCCATAATGGTGAAAAATACTATTTATTTTCAGCAGTGCAGAAAAATAAATGGTAGAAAAATACTAAATACAAACACACCTTCACTTTTATATTCGGTAGATACCCCTTATGATGAGTTAAATATGTCGAATGATTTGTGCAATGTAAAGGAAAAGATCTTGAGTGTTCACATAACACTTAAAGAAGATCAAACGTGTGAACCCTAACTGTATCGAAAGGGGTACAGGGTTTATTTTTTCTTATAATGCGAGCCACTGTCATTTAGATGCAATCCTATACGCTAGAAGGGTGAAAAAAATGTAATAACAAGTGAAATATTGTAAGAAAAAAAAAGTGTGCATATTTTAGCAACGCTCACGAGTTAGGCCTGACACGGTGTAGAGGTTCATACAACCTGTGATGTGCTCAAGAGTGTATACCTTGTAAAGTATAGACACTCAACAAAATGCAGAAGCTTGCGCATAATGAGTAGCAACCATAGAAGCTTCTTTATATAAGTAGCGCATAGTACCCTAGTAATGATGGTGAGGATAATATTCAAATTGTACCTTGACCCCACGTCATTAATAAGGACTCGCTACTTTTGTAAAAGAAACACCTTGATAGTCAGTGGATCTTACCTTTCACTGCACAAATGTTAAAGCTTTTCCCCGTGAATTAGGACTAAGAAAACACAACTATTCGAGTAAGCAATGATTTTCACTATCCCTCTTTATGCGGTGTGGCACATTTTTTATACCCTTGTTGTTAACGCATTCATTATATACCCTGAAATCTGGATACATGACCGCGTATCAGGCGTTATGATTCATCATCATACTTTGCATCATAGTGAATCTACCCAAAGTCTTTTCGAAGCAAAGAAATAATACTTAAATGTAGATGATATAATTAAAGAACCTATTTTGACTAACCTTCAAATACAGTGAAAAATAAATCATGATTCTGAGGTTGATACAAAAAGGCAAGATAAAGTACAGAAACCCTGCATACAGTATACTTTAATTTATTTTTTTCCACATTTTAGAGGACTTGGATTCCTTACTCTTACCTTCAACAAGAGATGAAGAGAAACAAATACTGTCAGCTTTTCAGGTTAATTATTCTCTGTGTTTGCACATGTAGGTTTATCATACATATAGGGATACAAAAGAGAAGGTAAAAATAAGTGTACATAGATATTTACATGAAGTGTTGCATTTTCTTCTCGGAATAAAAGGCATTAAATTCAAACTCTGAAGGAAAAAAATATATTTGATTCAAGATATTAAAACCATATAGACACCCTAATGAAGCATCAGAGCTGTATAGGATCGATTTTTTGTTTCAGTATTCTTAAGAAATATATTCAAGAAAAAAAAACATAACTGCATAAAGACTGATTGAAAAGGTTCTATTTTTCCTTATAAGAAACTGAATATCCAGGGTTGAGATTTAAACTAAAAGTTTGATATATGTATCAAAAAAAGAGGCTATGCTTCAAAAAGGAATAGCGATAAAGTGTTTCTAAAAAATGCGACCCCATGTAAAATGCCTCATCACCTATTCTATTCCTCTCCCTTATTCGCCGTTCCACACCTGCGGTTCGTATGGAATCGGCTTTGTATAAATGTGACGATACGGATCGTTTCCAGCCGGGCACCACGGCTTGTATTCGCGCTCCTTCTGTTGCATCAGACGCATATTTCGCTCCTTTACATTGTACGGATCCTCTTGATATTCTGGAAATCTATTTATGCCATCCTTTAATAAAGAAGCCGGAACCCACGGCTCAGCAAGCCGAGATTGAGTTGTAGACTCAGACACTTTTTTAGGAGGCAAAGGCTTTGTTAAGGTATATACACTGCTGAAGCCGTGCTCAGTCTGATTGAAGTAGCCGCCACTATGCACATGAGCACAAAACGGCGCGGCCATGTCCTTCTTAGATGCAGCATTTTTGAGAGATTCCTGACGACGACTACCATCGTATGGGTCAGAAACATATTGTATTTCACCAGCTTTGCCTATTGATAGACCTGGAAAGCCATAAGTCCCTTTTTTGGGTGGATTTGTATAAAAGTTAGGCCGTGGAGAAATATAGTCTGCTGGTTTCTTATGAAGCTGAAACTCCGTTTCGTGCTTAAACGGATTCTTTTCAGAAAAAGTGCCATAGTAGTCACCCTTGCCACTGCTCTTGTGTGGAACACCTGGTGAAAAAAATGGCGGCTTCTTCTCTTTGCCCTCTGATTTCATCGTTGAAGAGGCTTGCTCCCGGAAAGGGCCTCCAAATCCAACGGTACGATATGGATCACCTGCGGAAAGAGAGGTAAATTTGCTGAAGCATGCGTCCTGAACCCAAGGGTGTCGCTTAGCAGACACAACAAAAGCCTTGTTATCTCGGGCGCTGCGCTTTGATTGTGAAGAATGCTTGTCATACTCGTCACCTACAGAAAGGTAAGTTGGGGGACTAAACATAATTCAATAGAAATAAGCTACTTTCTTGGAAAGAAAATAATTAGCTATACCAAATTGTAGCAAAAAAAAGGTTTGACCTGTGAAATACACGTGTCGCTTGAAGGAAAAAGGTGTGTTGGTAAAACAGTAGTTTCACACTAATGATGTAGAGAAAAAAGCTAAAGAAATAATATCTAGAGACTACCAAAAGGTACTACCTTCCAAAGATTACCGCAACCGGATTGTTTACGATTGAAAAAAGGTTAAATGGAAAAGGATTTTTAGTTATTTTTTTAACAACCCATACTGCAAGTTCAAATCCTTTAAAAGAAAAACATCAAATATAAACTCAAGGTGTCCCCTTAAATGGGCAGCAGAACTTTTTGTGAGCCTAACACTGGGTTGCTTGAAGTGGAAAAAGAACAGCACCTATTTGTCAAGAAAAATATAAACAACGCTAATTCCATAAACTGGAAGAATATGATCTTATTTATCATTCTTCTCATTTATTTGTCGAAACTTGTTTCTCCAAATTGCATTGTGTGAGTAAGTTTGGCGAAGTATTATTTTCAAGACTACATGGTTTTACCTGAATCTTGAAATATTTCGGAAAGATCGAGTCATCATCATCCCATCCAAATGCCTTTCGCATACTTGAGTATTCATAGCAGTACTCTGGATTGCAGTATATAAAGTAAAACAGCCCGGTGAACAGCAACGCGGCCCTTGCGTAGCCGTGAGCACGGAAACGCTTTTCAGCTGGTGACAACACACGATTTGATGAAAGGATATACCGAAGAGAAAATTTTTTCTCAACGTCATCCTTATTAGAAAAGTGGCTTACCATCACCTATCTTTTTTATTGGTGTCTTTGCTTCTTATACAACATAAAAAATATGTTTTGGTGTATATTACCAACTGAAGTAAAAATCAATAATGTATGACGCTAATTTTCCTTGTGCAGTAGATGCCAAAAATTTTTTAGAACGTTGACCAACATACAAAAGCCAAGAATTTAATAAAATTCAAAATTCAAGGATTAAAAAAAAGCCTTGAAGTAGCAACAACAATGAAATGATACTTGTGTACCACAAGTGAATAATTATTGTGGCGGTGATGCCCTTCCTTATTTAGTTTGCCTTTATTCGTTTCGCTTATTCAATAATCCATTATAACTCTAAATTATTCCTTTCGTTTTACTTGGTAACATGCATGATTATAAGCCTTCGCATGTTCAATCTTTTGAAACTGTAGACGGCAGTTGATGCCTTCCCAGCAATTTGGGCGCTCAGTCACTGAATCCGGTAACTCTTTAGAAGGAATAGCTCTACGATAGGCAAAAAGAAGTGAGGAAAAGACGGCCTCCGCACAACGTGAGCACGTGGGCATATCGACCGTGATAGGTCCGTCAAGTATTGTCAGATCGAGCTTCCACTTGCCATCTCGAAGCTTGCTTACGCATTTATCCCAAAGGATTGATAAAGAAATATTGTGATCTGAGATGTATGAGTTTAATATAGCCTGCTCTGTGGTATTCCCAGCAAATGTTCTTGAAGGGATAGCGGAAAAAACATGAGTGTACAAAGAACATAGACCAGTTGACAAATTATGGTCATCAACTGATAGCCTCACAGCTGGACAACCACCCTCATCGCCGTAATACAGGTTGCAAAAAGGGATCTTACACAGGTAGCACCTTTGAGGGCGACCACACAGTGGCCGCTCAGGAAAACGTGTTCTGCAGGACTGACAAATCAGGTGAGAACTCCCTTCCACACATTGGAAGCCGTCGACAGCTGAGGGCACCTGACAGTGCCGGCAGCACGAATCAAATGTGGCGGTAGCATGTCCGTAGGAGCCCAGAAATATGGCACCTGGATGGATAAGTCGCCCAGGACCACTATTGTCGGGGACGCTTGGGCCAACGGAGGAGCATTTTTCATGATCCCAATGGGTATGTTCATTCTTGTCATCTCGCTGCCGCTTAAAGGTCCTTGGGACCACTCGGCCTGCAGAAGGAATATCGTCGAGCCCTTCGCGTCGCTCAACTTCCTCGGCTGAGGGACGGTGGCTAGGTTCAGCTGCCAGTAGTTGCTCTACCCTGCTCTGAACTTTTTGGGTGAGTTGAACCTCCTCAATGGGAACATGACACAGTGCGCAAGTAAGATGGTGGAGGCGCAGACGCGGGCTAATGCAAGAGGCACAAAAAACATGCATACATGGCAACACACTACAAGGCCGAATGTATACACTGCGGCATATCTCACAGGTGAGCTCCCGCAAGAGGTGGTCAACCGTAGTTTCCTCTCGGATGCGCTGAAAGATAAACCCCACAGAGTCGGCAGCGGATGCGGCTGCTTGAGAGTTAAACCCAGAAACTGGAGCGGAGAGTGGTTTTGCAAATGAAACAAGATCACCAGGGTTTAAAGGCACCACTACACCGCTCAGAAGCCTCTCCCCATTGACGTATGTACCATTTGTCGATGTGTCTCTCAGTGTTACCCCCATGGTAACCACATTCACAGTAATCTCACAGTGCTTAGAAGAAACTTTTTCACTCGTGCCAATGCAATAAATAGGCGGTAACTTCTTAGAACGCCCAAGTACGATAACGCCGTCATCCTGATGAATAGGGATCGACTCGTGTGAACTGACAATAAATGGTACAAGACGGGCCACCACAGGCATCTGTAGTGACGGTGCAACCAGATCAAACATATCATCTACGGACTGCGGCACAATCGATTCCTTCGGAACCTTCGAGTCCATCAGTTCTGAAAGATCTCCGAGATTCGGAGAGTCAGGCATAGATACAAAAGAATTCATCTATAACCTATTGATGAAATAAAAGTTGACGAAAATTAATTATGATTGAAATAAATAGTATTAAGGTTTTAATCGCATATTTAAACATCTGATGTATATGATACATATACAAATAATAAATCCAAATGTTTACTTTTATGAGAAAAGATATAGCAAATAAACAACGGTGAGAAAAAGAAGACCTACATGCTGACATGGCATAAAAGAATTTTTTTATAAAAGTAGTTTGACAGATAATAAAGAAGCACGAAGTGAATAAAGGCAATTTAACAGAAAAAAACAAGCACGAAGTAAATCATCGCCACTTGTTTTAACACTTTTCACTTAAAAGTTTAATAATAATAATAAGATGATATGCCAAAAGCATTACTGTATAATCTTACCGGGGGTTGAAGAGGAAATTAAGGACATCAGGACTTTCAAATTATTGAATTGAAAAAAAAACAGATAAACCTAATACCAAGCATTAAATAAAATCTAGAGATTAATTTCGATTCTATTTATTGAAAAATAGAAAATGTTGAGGAAATTTGAAAAATTGAACCATTAGAGCTGAAATGCGCAAGCGGCATTATCATTAAATTAGGCCTTCCATTCATTCCCCATACCAATTTCTAAGCCATTCCTTGCTACCCCCTATAGAATATAAGGATTACAAGATCGAATTAAAGTTTAAAATTTAATTTCAACCTTAAATACAAGTACTTCCTTTGAGGCAATCATAAAGGAATCAAATTAGTTCATAATATAAAAGCATAACACTATCAACTGTATTACTACCTTTTTCAAGCCATTAAAGAAGTGCACACAAATGAAGCGGTAGTATTACCCAGCGCTCATAAATGCGTGTAAATCTTTCTTTGTGTAATCTTGTCACTAGTAAAAGAAAGAAACACATATTTTTGGAAGCCTCAAACAAATTTAGGAAAGGTTAGCAAATAAGCAGACAGATAAAGTGTTTGATCATTAGATTTCATAAATACCACGAAATGATCGTTGATATGCTAATTAGACAGTAAATTTATATAAAGATAGTGGATGCTAAATTTTAAAAAATAGCATTCCTATCGGGACTATTTCGTTGTAGATATACAAGAATAAATCCAATTTATAACATCTTAAATAGACAGAAAGGAAATATATAATAATAATAATAAGGAAAATTTTTTAATAAAAGAAAAAGCAATGAAGATATAATCACCTATACATAACAAAAATTATGACATTAGAAAGCTACTAAATCATGTTTAAGAAAATTTAGCACTCATTGCAACGACTTCAATAATAACTTAGTAAAATTTGACAATGATTAGAGATAAACATCCAGGTGATTAATAAAAATGCATGTTTAGAATTTTGATGAATAGCCTTTCCTGCTTGGGGTATTTCTGAAGTACTCATCAATATAATTCAAAGCACAGATGGCGCTTCATATGCAGTTTGGCACTCCACTTTGTTTATTGTTTCCTTTCATCACACCTTAGACCAAATGTATTGAGGTAAAGTTTGCTATTGGACAACAGCTCTTGAAGTCTTATTTTTGTCCTATGAAATAAAAATGCGCTTTCATTTAGCGTTAATGGTATTCCAGCTGACTACCCTATTTTGCCCCTTGGATAAGTTGGTTTAGCCCCCACTTTCACTGGACAAACTGAAAAAAACTGATTTCAGTACTGAAATTGCCATAGAAACTAGTTTTACTCCCGCAAAAGAGTGTCATAGAGAGTTGATTTTCTTCCCTCTTAAGCTCTTAGTGACCGTTTTGTGCACCACTCGTTCTCTAACTGTCTTAACTGCTCTAAATTCTTTGTAACCCAAGTGGAACGCCTGCCTTCCATGTTTGAGGGGGGGACCTGATGGAAAAAAGCTTTGCATGAGGAACTATTGTTAAGGGTATTCTGAGAACTCAGAAGCTTCTCTAATTCTAACACACGCATTCTAAGCTCCTCACACGCTTTCTCTTGCATCATATTGGTGTACTCGCTGTAAAACAATTCTTCCTCTAGACGCTTTGTGACTTGCTGTTCGTGATCAAGCCTTTCTTGTAGATCAGCAATCTTCTTGGAAAACTGTACCTCTTGAGGTGATAAGGTGGAGGGAAAGGACATCAAGGCAATGTCAGGTAAGACTCTTAAGTTTTTATCCTCTAATTGTGCCACTTTCACAACTGGACCATCTATAACAGTGTGTGTGTTGTGAATAATTGGGCTGTCACTGTTGAGACTCCTACGGGCAGCCCCTAGGTCTTCCCGAAGGTTGATGATTTTCCCCGTGTTCTCAAGATTTTGAAAAGTAGATGTCACCAGGTGTGGCTTCGTTCTAATTAACTTGGCACGCTCGGCATACTTGAGGGTATTCAAAGTCTCATCCATCATTATGGACAGAGGTGATACGCAAGCAACAAAGATTGTAGAGGAATTACCACCTAGCATGGGTTCGAGCAAACGAGTGAACTTGGAAGAACGATATGGCACATGCGACTTCTTTCCCGATAGTGCAAGAATCACATTGCCAAGGGCCAGCAATCCACTGTTTATGCTTATTCCCTCTCGAATTCGCTTTGTGACGTTATTCAGCCTGACTGGAGACTCAGGTAGGGAGGTAGATGAACTAATGGAGGATCTGTCCATTTTTTTAAAATTGTACGATTTCTGTAGTCGTTCACTTCCAGCAAGGTCCACAAAAGAGCACTTTGAAATGGTGCCTTTACGCTGGAGAGTTAGAGTAAAAATGCAGTGGGAACGCGAGCTCGATGAATTGATCAAGGTTGAGGCGGTCTTGCGGTTGGAAAATGCAGTAGACATGCATGCCAGCAGTTGCGCTTCCTCATAAAGTTGAACCTTAGTAAGCCCAGCAATGTATACGCCTTCCTTTGAGTCTTCACGCAGAATCAATGATGATTTTGTAGTGCCGGTTGATGCCAATGTCCGAAGCCAAGCGTGGAAATTAGAGGAATACATATTTCTACGGTGAATACCGGTTGGAAGCGGACTAGCGGCATGGACCGATGCACAGGGTTTCGTTTCAAGAAGGTCTCTAAATTGATCATTGTACACCTCAACCGCGCTAACCTGGAGTTTAAACGCCCCGGTGCTATGATCTCCTTCACTAAAACCTCCTTCAGCGCTAGTATTGCTATCGCTACTCGAACCTTTATTAGATGATGGTTCACGAATATTGCGGAATATCTCTTTTACTACATCACACGCAAGGGCTAAGATGGTAAACGTCTTTCCAGACCCCGTTTGCCCATAGACTATAGAAGACGTATTAAACCCATCTAAAAAAGTACTAGCAACCTTCTGACCTATCTCCACAAAAATATCATCAGAGGTGGATTTCATTCCAAATATTTTATCAAATGTAAATGAGTGTCGATCACTAACCATCAAATGCTGCCCAACTACTGATAAACAACTAGTGGTAGGTTCATTTTTTAAAAATGGCCTGACACGGACATAAACTTTGATATTTTTACCCATAAGAACAGTTTTCAAGAGTAATATAAATTAACTATGTGAGTGTTATAAAAAAAACAATATATATATTTTGATATTTAAAAAAAAAAAGTATACTAAATAATGATAATATATGGTTTATGTAGAAGTTTATGTTTTAAGCCTACACTAAATATTATCTAAATATAAAGAAGTACATAATGCAAAAATGAGAACAAAAAAGACCGTAAAACGAAATTAGAATACAAAACAAAGCGCAGTAAACTAGAAAGTTCTAGTTTCCTTTTTTTATCCCATGTGCCTATTGAATCAAATAAAAAGTGGGCACTAAAGGATGTGATCTAGAAGTAAAACTAAGATCTCGTAACGGATTTGCTCAATAAACACACTCATATTAATCAAGTGTAGGGTTTCCAAATCAATGCAAAATAATTAAAAATATTAATCGGAATTAAGGAATCTGGACTCGGAATTATCAATTACAGAAGTGGCTTGTGGGTACCGAAAAGGACACATAAAAAGATGTAAAGTGTCGTCGAAATAAAAATGCAAAGTACGTTTGAAAATGTCAAGTAAACTCATTTCGTGTGAAAAAAAGGAATTCCGTTATTTCCTTCCTCTATTCTGTTAGAACAGCAGTTTTATGAATTGACATATTGACGATCCAACTAGATCATAACGCGTTGAAGGTGAATATTAAGGACTAAACTATGTTTCCTTGAGGACTTCTTGATATTCAATTTCATCGTAAATGAATGATGATTCCACTTGTGGTATATGTGAATCAGGAGGACATGTGGGCCCCCTACTGCCAGCTCCTGTCCTACAGTTTTTTTAATTTATAAACTTTGAGATTCAACTAGTTTTGGGTCTCCTCTAGTTGTTGTCGTCCATTGTCCAGGTGATAGATAAAAGAGGACTTGACAACAGTTACCTTTAAGTACTTTGGGTGACCAGTATCCGTTTACACACGCACTGATGAATTCACATACGCACTCCTCAGAAAAGAAAATCATTACTACAGTATTGGGAAAAATAGAAAAAACATACGTGAAACATGATGCTTAAATTTTATCTCATGAATATTAATTGACATATTATCAATACGGAACTACGGCAAGCAAGTTGAATGTAATTGTGTAAACCCAAATAACTCAGTTTAGCGTTTTTTCCCAGTTTTCGAGTTATTCCAAGGAACCGAGTCAGACATCATGGGTAATCTCGGGTGGTCAACAAAATACTGTAGCCAAACATAAATAAGAAACATCATACTTTATTATTCTTATAGGAATATGTTTTTTACTAACAAAAAAATGTACAATCTTTATATGAACGTTTAATGCTTTTGATTACAGTCATTTACCATGTTCACATACCCCTATCATAAGTACATCGAACTAGTCATCTATTCCTCAATTCCCCATAGAATCGGGTGAACACAAATGAAGGGTTACGCAGGTAATCGAGCCAGTATAACGTTACAAAGGCGTACAATTGTCCAGAGAAGAATAAATAGCGTTACAAAAAGTACACACACAAGTGTGTCACTAAGGATATTCCAAATGCGTAGATACAGCCTTAAAAGGCCAATATTCCATCGGCAGAAATATCTTTGGAAGGTTAATTGGAGGAATTGAACAGGGTGAAATAGTATTGAGATGTGTCGAGAGTGAACAGAAGTCAGGTTAAGAGCATGATGGAGTCTTTCTAATCGCTTTCCATAAGATAAACATTGTAAGGGGGTGTGAACAGAAAGACAACGCCCCATCATGGCGCCTTCCTCACCAAACTTGAGCAAGGAACGATAGAGTCGGCGGTACTCAGCTCGGGTCTCTTCTGAAGGCCCTCTTTTGTCATTGCTTTTAGACTTCTTTAAGTTGCCGGGCCAGTTAACAAATTTAACTAAGTGTCTTATTGTAAATACTTGTGCGCCACATTCTATCTTTGAGATTGGTGCATTACATAACCTCAGCATAACCTGATCGGGTTGTATTTGATTTATTCCCTCAGTTTCCTTTTGAAAATTTTGAAAAGATAAGATATCATCTAAAAAAATGCAAGCAATAATATTGGCAAAGCATAACAAAGCAAGATAAAAATGAAGCATAATAAAATGCTGCATCAGTAATCAAAATATAATAAAAGGTAAAACAAAATCACATAAGCATACGTTCGGAATGTATTCTTAATAAATTTTCTTATAAGAATATGTTGATACAGTGAGTGTGCTTTAATATTCTGCTAAACAAAAAAAAATACCATCAAGTGCAAGCTAGACAATAATATTTAAAAAATCTAGATTTCCCTTTTAGCGGTTTTTTTAATTGTGGGAAGGTATTACAATCCAGAATATTGATTACCACATTAACAATTCCGATAATAAAAAGGAAAATAATAATAACTTGAATACTATTGTGTACCCTTGTCTAGCTACTTACGAAGTGTCTAGTGTTAACAGTACGCTGAATCTCCCTGTCCCTCCACTACTTGATCAAGAGCATAGGAATAATAATTCCAAAGAATCTGCAAACTTAAAGTTATCAAGAATAGAAATAATCCAGTATTTCTAGTAGACTTTGGAGAAATACATTGAGAGATGGAACATATACTGCTAGCTGTATTTTTATTTCAAAAAAAACACGAATAAATAAATGCGCGACCCTCTAAGGCCTATCAAACGGGTATTTTAAACAAGAAAAACACCCACAATAACAAAAGTGAAACATGACATGCTTCATTTAACCAAATATTTCATTTAAAAAGTGAAGAGAGATGGAGTTTGTTGCTTTTATTTTGAAAAAATGTCAAATAGAAGAGTATGACAGTTGCTCTAAGTTTACAAAGAAAAGAAAAATTCTATGTCAGAATTGCTTCCAGTCTATAAGAAGGCCGTCAAAATAAAAAAATATCAATCCTCGTTATATTCTTTATTTAGAAGAATAGTCAGGTTGTGAAATAACAACTTGATGGCTCAAAACGTGGATACATCTCTAGAAAACGTTTTTCCTGATGACACATTAGTGCATATGTTGCCCAAAAAGCTGTACGCTTCAGACATTAGCTTGCTCTCTCGTTGTTCTAATGTGTCCCGTTGCGCACGAAGGCGCAACTCTTGCTCAATAAGAGTGCGCTCATGCTGAGTAGCAGAGTTTCGCTGATGCTGATACTCGTTTAGGTCTAACTCTTTTTGTTTAACCAATTTTTCCCGGTCCACAAGATTTTGTCGAGCTAAATCCATCTCACGGCTCCTTTGAGAAACCTTCTCTTTTGCATCCGTGACGGCTCGCACGTTCGCATCACGATGACGCGCCACCTCCTCAGCTTCGCGACCGATATCCTTACCGACGTTATCGAGGGTCTTTAGATCCTGCTCAACAGCCAACACGGCACGTTCCACAAAATGAACCGCTTCTTCCGCCATAGGTATTTCGCGTACCACAGCATCAGACTCCATCTCAGAGCTCTTTAATGCCTCTCGGGCCGCTTCGGCTTCTTGTGAAGCTTGGTCGGCGGATCGGTGCGCGCGTTCGGACGCCCGCTTCGCCTCCTCTAATGCTTTTTGCAACTGCCGCACTTTTTCGTCCGAGGCTGCAGCTTCGTTAGACAATTGAATTGCGTGATTTTCTAATTTATCGGACTCACGGACACGTTCTTGCAAGACCCTGCGCAACACTTTTTCACGCTCCTTCACAGAAGCTAGGTCTCTCTCACGCTCCTTCTTCTCCCTAATCCTTGCCTCTTTCTCACGTCGAGCGGACTCCATGTCCCTTGCGAGGTCTTGCATGCGGTCGCTGCGTTCGCGCAACTCGGCCTCGGAGATGCGGACGGCCTCCTCGGCATTCACCACATCGTTCTCAGACTTTTCTAGTGCATGCATCGCCTGATCAAGGACCGACTCCGCCTTTTCAACCGCATTCCTTTCGTTTTCAATATCCTTTTGCATGCGCGCTTCTTCCCAGGTGGATTTGTAGCGATAGAAAAGGCAATCCATCATTATCGGGTATAGACGAGCAAAACGCTCAAACTCAGAATATGAAATACGATTATCATTGTTATGGTCTGCGCGTTGAAAAAGCTCTTCCACTGTTGCAATAGAGAAATCCAACCCCAATTTGGGGAATCCTTTAGTGAAGTCCTCGATATCCAATGAGCGCTTTTTGTTCACATCGAACTCGCCAAAAATCAAACGCAGCTTTTCATCTTGAGAAGCATCCTCATTGACCCTGGTAACTAACGCTGTGGAGGTTGAAAAGTTCATGCCTCGACGCATGGATGAAGTCTCGGAGCGCCCGCCTGTGTAAGGCGCGAGTGCGCCATAGCTGAAGGCCGACACGCCCCGACTGTCGACCGACACGAGGGAGCTGTTGTTCACCCCAAGGCCTTGTGAGATGGAAGGTGTGGGTGGCTTTACGGCGGGCGGAATTGGCTTTAAGGTTTCTTTATGCCATTGATTTTCAGTCTGAAAGGCATAGAGCTGACAGTAATCGATAAGTTGGGCATCACTAAGGAGATCCACCCACTTGTTGGCATCTTCGTCGTAAATTTTTAACTTGGAGAGATTGAACGTGTGCGGAGGGACGTTATCCGGACGCTTATTCGAGATCTCAAGAGAGAAAGCATTTTCTGTAATTTTTGTAAGCTCTTGAAGGGATAGATGATCAGATAAATTTAATTCAAAATTTACCTTCTTATGAAATATGTCGGCAGCCACCTGGATTGTTAACATCGTTTTATGAGAAAGGTAAATCCTATAAATTATTAGCAACGAAATTTGAAGAAATTATAAAGAAATATTAAATAGATGCAACTTTTCTTCTATATGCTTACAAACCCCTTAAATGAAAAATAAAGAAATAACGCTATGTTTAAGAGCATATAATCTACAATCGAGAATATAAAATTACCATGCAGAAGTAAAACTAGTTAAACTTATCAAAAAGTAGAACACATTATATAAATTAGTTGGTTAAGTTTACAAATGTCCTCGATTTCAATATATGAAATAATTAATTCATTTGCACTAGTTTTTACTAGTTCTTCAAAGGCAAAGCAAACGTACAGTCTTGTGGAAAATGCCACTGCCCACAAATAAAGCATCTTACAGGTGGTCCATTTTTTTGATGGGACGTATTATGAGGGCAACATCTCGAAACGTGACCTGTTTCGCCACAAATAAAGCAAGACTTTTTAGTTTTAACTGACTGATCCCCCGGAACCGTGATGGCTTCTGACGGGTAGTGAGTTTCCTCCGGTGGTACATGCGTTTCTTTCTTGGGGGTCTGAGGTTGATGACGGTCAACAATGGTGATACCGCGCATGCTGGAACCTGCATCTTTGAGTAGGCGCACGATCGCTCGCATTACAACGCTGCTGATCGAGTCCCAAGACTTCAATGGGTCATTAATTTTTATGGTGAGGGCTGAGTCTAAATGGTCCTTGAGTTGCTTCAACAACTCAGCATCCTTTCTATCACAGTAAAAGGCCGTTAACTCATCTAAGCAGAGCTTATTCTGTGTGGGCAGGTACTTCAGTCTACCACCGCAAAAGAAGATGACTTGCAGTGGGGATACAAAGGAAACTTCGCGTAAAAACGTGCTGGACGTCTTGATCTTGTCAATGTAAACCACTAGCTGTGAAGGGAAATTGTGCTCCTTGCCGATCACACTAGAGGGATGGATAAGACATTGAGAGCCGTCGAATGTGGTAAAAAATGCCGGTGATGACTTCTTGTGACTAGACTTCTCGTTCTTTCGGTTGAGAAAAGCAACATTTGGATAGAGACCCGCAACAAGGCAAGCCAAAATGCACTGTACACTGGAGGAATTGGTATTAAACTTCTCCCCTCCAGCCTCGTAAACATGATTATCTAACGTAACAAAAGGTGGATATATGAATTTACCATTCGAAAGCTTTCGATTCGGCCTAGAATCATCGTCCAAAAAGCCTGCTTCGTATAAATAAGTCTCATATTGTTTTTTGGTTAGCTGAATCTGTGTTAAAATGGTAGAAGAAAGATAAAACTCGGTGCACACATTACGTGCAGCCCGCGCCCCATCGTGAATTAGCGTAGACACCCACCGCCGATACGCGTACCATGAAGAGAGATGATCGGATGCATGTTCACCTGCAAATGCGCGACGGATGGCTTCGACTACATGGCGAATATCCATCGAAGAATTGAAAGGTGATCGCGCTGCTAGACAGGCTGCAATCGTCAACACTGGGTCGAGGCACTGAAGCAGGGCACTGTGAATAATCATCTTGCCCACACGCACATCCAGTGGCAAATTAGCAAGATGCTGACCAAGCGAGGTGAGTCGCTTCTCTATTGTGAGTGCACCCAGTGTAGTAAGCACCTTAACACTGCTGTGAACAGCCTTCTCTTCGGGTGGAGTTAGTGCCTTTTGCAGGTACTCCACTTCATTGCCAAGGTGCAGAGCATAAATTTGCAGTACAAGGTTTTCAAGAGGCACTCGGTGCATTTCACACAGTTGATGATCAGCAAATGATTCGAACTGCTCCACCGTAAAGAGACGAAAGCAAAAGCCCTGCCGCACGCGGCCCGCACGACCCTGTCGCTGGCGGCAGTTAGCTTTGGAAATGTTTACGCTTACAAGCTCTGAAAGGCTCTTTTGTGCGTTGTAGCGGTTTTCCTTGACTTTCCCAGTATCGATAACGAATACAGCATCATCTATGGTAATCGAGGTTTCCATAATATTCGTTCCTAGAATAACTTTCCGCTTCCCAGGTGGGGGCCGCCGGAAGACACCCTGCTGCTCTGAAGAGGGAAGCGAACTGTGTAAACTGTAAAAAATACACACCCGACGAAGTCGCTCATCTGACTGAAGTTGCTCCAAGCAACTTTGGATTTCTGCCATACCTGGCAAAAAAATAAGGACAGCGCCATCTATCCGTATGGTGAATTCAATATGCCGCAAGATATGCTCAATTAGTTCGTAATCAATGAGATCAAAGTTCATGCGAGAGATAGTCTGAAGAGTAGAAGTGGACGCATTCACTTTTTTCGAAAGCTCTTTCTGTAACTCCAACTGCTTCAAATCCTCCTCTACCTCTTCCATGTCAATATTCAGAATATTCTTGCGCGTATTGCACTTTTTTGTTTCTCTTTTACCCGATACCTTCGCGTAGGGCAATCCGTCCTCCAAGTTGTATTGAACAGCAGGAATGATCTCCTCCAAATGCATCACCTCAACTGGGTAAGCTCTTCCCTTAATGGAAATGATAGGAGCCCCACCAAAGTACTGAGAAAAAAGATCGGAGTCCATTGTTGCACTCATCAAAATGACTTTTAAATCGTTCCGTTTAGTCAACAAGTCACGGAGGAGGATAAGAAGAAAGTCTGAGTGAACGCTGCGCTCATGAATTTCGTCAACCAAGACGTGACTCACTGAACCAAGGAAATTGTCAGCTTGCATGCGGCGAAAGAGTACACCGGTTGTACAATAGGTTATCTGCGTGTACTTAGAGATGCAGTTTTCTAGACGAATGGAGTAACCAACCAAATTACCAACCGACTCATCACGCTCCTCGGCCACACGAAAGGCAACCGATGTGGCCGCCAGGCGACGTGGTTGCGTGCAAACGATGTTTGCTGAGCTCCCTTTGCCATCCTCACACATGAACTCATATACATACTGAGGAATTTGAGTAGTCTTACCACTGCCCGTCTCACCACTGATAACAACAACGTTATGAGAACGTAGCGTATTTTTCAATTCAGTTCGAGTTCGATAAGCGGGAAGTTCATTTCTGAACTTTCTAAGTGATCCGTTAACCCGTAACTTTTCCCATGTCTTTTTTAACGAGATGTTTAGTCCAGGGTTCTCCACAAGGAACTCCGTCCGCCGTTTCTCCCCTACAACCGTCGACCTTTCGATTGTCCGCATCTGAATTTTTTCAGCCATTGAAACCTCAACTGAATTTTCACCACTGTTGTTATCCGAAACAGTCTTTTTTTCCTTAATGAGAGCAGACAAAAATGCTTCACGCTTCTTATGTTCGTTCTGGCTGTTTAGTACGCTCTCCGAGATGGGACTTGCGGTTGACGGAAAGGCAGGCACCTGAAGCACAATGCTCCCAATTGCATCTCGAACAGTCGAAACGAGGGGCAAAAGACAAGCCGATTCTTGAAGTCCGTTTATCACCTCAATTGCGGTGTCCATAGTTGTCCGACGAGCCGCCGCAGGAAGGTCTTTGGTACAGAAGGGGTACACTGACAAGGTGTTTGAGTGGCCTTTGCGAAACTGTAATAGGATTAACGGAGGCTCAGCTGGGTATTCAGCCGGGATTCGAATCCCAACCAGAATTGGCTGTTCATCCTCCGTCAAGAAGTTGAAAACAATTTCATAATCTTCAGAATTTGTGTCACACGGAACCTTCAGACTTACTAGCGAGTCGCCAAATAGCTCTCTGAGAGTTTCAATCTCATCCCTAAGTATATCACCTGTATTTTCTCCAGAAGACTTACCCGTACAAGCATCCTCGCGTAGAAAGCTTATCATACAATCAAACAAATCAAAACAGCAATTCACCAAAAATGGTTGATACACACCATCCTCAGACATTAATTCGGTGATGTTTAGAAAACTTGGCATTTCGGAGCTCTCAATGAGATCCTCAATATATTGGAGTACTAAATCTCGTGGAAACCCAAGCGCCTCGAACAAATGTTGAAGCGTCTCTTTAGGAGTTATTGGCGAATTTTTGTGTAAAGAAATATGAGTCCCAGACGCAGTATCAAAATGTTTTTCGGAAACTGGAACCGATCCCCCGCTTGCTGCGTGGTGCAAAACATCAATAATGAGATCACGCCCTGCGTTTGTGATAAAAGATGGCTGATTTTTTTGAGAAAGTGATGTTTTAGATTTGTTTAGATAACCGGCTTTCCTTAGAACACGGGCAATCCGTTTTTTATTATTTTGACCATTTCGACCCATTCCTAAAAGAAGAAAAAAAGAAGATGAAATCTGTCGTAGATCAAAAATTTTCATACGAAACGAGCTTCAAAAGACTGTTAACATCTCAAATACTTTCAACATTGGATTCCATTATCTTAAACACCAAGATGAGCTATTTAAAAATGGTAACTGGCTTTGACCAGACTGAAAAAATGACAAAGGGACAAGAGTGCTGAGGAAGTTTGTATCTAACATGAAAAGCAAATAGCACTGATAATAATAATATCATGAAAACATATAGGTGTTGAAAAAAGAAGCATGACTTTATTCTAAAATTATTACTGTATATAAGACCATAACTGTCGACTTAATGAAAACTGTGGAGTCTTTTTTACTTTAAAATACAGTGTATTAGAAAAAGTATTACTACGGATTGGCTAGAATTCAGCACACACTATGTTACTATTTGATTGGGTACGACACCAAGACGGCCATCAATTTTGCTAATACGTAAGGCTCATGAAATGCAGTTTGTGTTTATTTCCTTAGCAAAGAATAAATGATAACAGTACCGATAACCAAAACTATTTCTTTTCATAGCAATGAGCTGGAAGCCTCACGTAAGAGCAACTATTTTCCAAAATTTTCGAAAACAAATATCGGTTATTATATAACAAAAATAGAATCCATTCCCACAGGAAAGTCCATGCGCATTACTTAAAGAAACGTCATGAATTCAGGGATGGGGGCGACTTAAAAAGCTTACCGATTTTAAACACCTATAATTTTTTGCACATTTTATTTGAATATTTTCAATGTAGGTTTAGTTAAAGTCCAATACTACACTAAGTGTCTTTACACTTTGCGAATCATACTTGCTAAGGTTTCAGTTCAGTGAATTCGTTAAGGTAAGTATACGAAGAAAAAATTACAAATAAATAACGAAACCATACCAACTGTGTGGCATGATTCATCATAGCGTTCCAAATATAAAGAAGTGAAAATGGTGGGATAAGAATATTAAAATTCCTCCGATCACGATTTTCCTTCGCGAAAAATAAAGAACCTATGACAGAAAAAATTCCCATATACTTCAACACAATACTTCGACTACGGATCTGTAAAAATAAAAGACCAGAAGGCATGCTTCGCTTTAATTCTAGAACACCATTATGAACGGCAATGTGGTTTGGATGGCTTGATATTCCAAACTTGTCAAATGTGACTAGGGTAGAAATACTTCCATTTTTTTTGAGGTAAGAATCCACTTCGTGTTTTACAAGGATATGAGACCACTTTTCTCTCAGTCCATCTCTAAGCTCAGGATGGTTTACAATTTTTATATTCCGTTTGTTAACACCAAAGTACTTCCCGCTCTCGTAAAGCTCTTGCTCTCTTTGTTCACCTTTGCCTTCCGAATCACCGCTGGATAAACAAAGAAAATGGCAGATAATGTTTTTGCTTCGTAAGTAATTCAGGAGTGGTGAGAAGAACATGGCTTCGTCATCAGGATGGGCAAAAATCAAAAGTACATCTCCTTGAATGAGGGTAGGTGGAAGTTTGGACACCTGGTACCAGCGACGTAAGTACTCAAATATGCAAATAAGAATATACAACAGGATAGACATCTGGTGATTTAAAATTCCTCTATGTATGGGTCTATTGTTCAAAATTTTGGACTAAATTAGTGTGTGTAGAATAAAGATTTGCTAAATTTTCATCAAATAAAAATATCAAGTATATAGCTTTAAGCATGGAATGCCATTGTATATTGAGCCACATAATGTTTTCTTAATTTGTTTACTAAGAAGTCACTGCAACACCTGGTACTATCATTCACAATATTGAAAACTTTTGCGCATTAATGAGAACAGAAAATTAACATTATAGAAAGGTCGATTTAAAATAAACATTTGAAAAGGGATCCAATCACCTATTTATATCCTCAATATGAGTTTAACGACCGTATGTCCATACGCGATAGACCGAACATAGCCCTGAAAAGAGTCCGGCAATGCTGACATAACCCTGATTATTCAAGCGGTTATAACCAGACAAAGCGACGAATATGTCAAGAAACAATTTCACCTCGGTAATAAATATCCAGTGAAGTTCAAAATCTATCCACAGAAGTTTTGGATAAGAATCCACATAAACCACATAATTAATATCATCACTTTTTTTTGATTCTTCGTTAGGGTCACAGATAGTATCCACAGCGTTCTTTGCCTTATCATTTGATTCCGAGAGAACTTTTCGTCGGTGCTTGTCCACCCTATCATACTTTGAAAGGAGCGAAAAAGACTCTTTAGAAATTATATCATCCACCACTCGTTCATGTGAGGAAGCATCGATTAAACCCTGGGAAAGACGCAGTGTGTTCAAACACAAGTCAATAGCCAGCACAACAAGGCCGCACTTGGTCGCAATTGATATCAGCTTCCCGACAATAGTGTAATGGATAAACCCCTTCTGAACAAGAAACGCGATGTCCTCACAGAAACATTTTACAAACATTAGGGATCGAGCAAGCAAGTCAAAGAGCATTTGACCTTGTATAAAAAGTGGAAGCAACTTACCTCCAGTAGAAGGAATATATATAATCTCGGATACCTTAATTAATGTGATACGGATTCGCTCAAATTCACCGAAAAAGCGTCCCAAACGAAAAAGTCTTCGGCTATTTAATATTGTCATAAGTATTTTCTCGTTAGATGTGAATTTCTCATTGGGCAAATAGTTAGTCTGGAAAGTGACCGAATCCCACCATAGCTGTATGCGCATCAGATACTGAACAACTTTAAAAACTTTGTCACGACCTTGATGCGTCTGAAGAAGTTGCCTCAAGCGTTTTTTAGTTGTAATATCCTCAAACGGATTTCGCCCAAGGACGCGAAGTGGTTCTGCATCATGCTCTTTAATTAGATCCATAATAAAATACTAAATAATCGTGAAATAAAGGCAAAGACACAAGAAATAAAATAGAAAAAAAAACTATCTTAAAAAAGCTTAAAATAAAGGAAAGATTAACATAGGCAGATAGATTAAGTAAATTTTGCAACAGTTTAAACATACGGGTAACAATAAAATCGTCAAATGGGCTACGGCAAAAGGTACATCTGAAATCTTCATTTTATTATTTAGCTGATATTGTCCCTTGAGGTGGCAATGGGACACATCTCAATAAAGAGTTGGAACTTATACACAACTGCAACATTGCAATCCATGAGGAATTACTTATGCTTCAATACGAAAAAGCTATGTTCGTCTACCTTTTTTATTCAGGATTTCGCTAAGATTTAGCTCGGAACTGATTAACTGCGTAATAATCCATTCAAGCGAGAGTATGTGCAGGTGCTGTTTTTGGTTTTCGGTAAACGAACGCTCTTTGAGTAACATGATTAACCGTCCAAAAGGACTTTCAGGTTTACCTAAACTCGAACTATTGAGATCTCGTGCCTTTCGTACCTGATCTTCTCGCTGAAAGCGGGCTTTTGTAGATTTGTCGACTTGCAGCCGGTAGACGAGCTTTCCACAGAACTCCCGAGGTCCCACCACAGCATCTGGATCATCCGACTCCTTTGCCTCAAAGAGATTGGGCGCTATCATAAGGGCCGGCCAACAACTCTCATCTACAGATTCGAAAAATACGGGAGCTGTGAGGGTAGGCGAGAGTCGTTTTTCTCTCGGAACTTCCATCCATTGGAATGTAGGATCCATTTCAGCACTTTTCTTCGCTTCAAAATCCTCTAAGAACTGCATCCAGTGAAGCTCTTCCTTTGAACATGGTAGATAACAACCAACTCGAACCTTTTCAAGAAAGGATTGAAGCTGTGATCGGGGAAAAACCTCGTTGCGGCGGCCTTCCGCTTTGGAAAGAGTCAAGCTAAGCTTGTTTTCGGTTGAGACTAAGCGGTTCCACGCCGCTTTTTTTCTCCCAACATCGTGCCTTGCGGAAGCCTCCTCGACCTGCTGCTCAGCATAGCCTAAGGCCTCACGCTCATGATGTTGGGCAAGGTGGTATTGAATAGCCTCATCTTGAAGCAAAATCGCGTCAGCATGGGATGGAGAGCAGCATACCACGCCGTTCTCGAGAACCTTAGAGGCCATTTGAGGGTCTTTTACTATCAAGTGCTCGGACATACTCCACTGAGAATAGACTTTCCAATCATGCACACCCTCGCTTGCCGCGAGTTTGCCGATTCTACGAAAGCGCTTGACAGACTCTTTATTCATTCCAGAGGGAGTGTGGGCAAGTTCTTCCCCAATCACTCGCTGCGAAAAAAGCGCCTTGTCAGCCACATCCAGGAGAGTTGAATCATTTTCTCCAGAATATAAAATATTCACAACGTTCTGAAGCGCAAATGAATTGTTTTGGACCTCATTAAGCCCACCCAAAGCAGTTTCAAGAGCGAGCTCTTTATCACCAACTGTGTCTAGCAAAAAAAGACAATAATCATACCAGCAAGAGTCATCCTCAGGAAGCTGAGCACACATTTGGCGGTATGCAAGAATCATCCGACGAATTTGAATCTCCTTTTCTAATATCCCGTTCTCTAGAATATCCTTCATGTATTGGAAAAGAGAAATCCATTGTTTCCGCACCTCAACCCTATCCGAATCACTACAAAAGTGAGCATAACGATCAGGCCATCGTTCACACTCAAGTACTTTATCAAAAGCCTCATTCGCATCGATCAATTTTGTCGAGTCCCCATCATTGTATGCTTTATATTCTTCATACAAACGATAGCGCTCGTAAAGAGGTACAGATAACCCAAGATGATAGATTTCTAATCTGTTTTCGCGGTTTGAGCAAGATCGAGCGGCCTCAATCCAAAGATGCACACTAAAAACATCTAAGCCCACAGCATGTACGGCCTCAAAAGCCATTTCATCCGTTAAAGGAATGCCATTTTCTTGGGCATACACAAAATAAGCTTCCCAAGCATCACAAAAGACTGCACCACTAATCAATTTCAAGATAACATCTTTTTTCTTATCATCTTCAAGCAAAGGAAATTTTTTCGCACTAATTGGGGAAAGATAATTTTGAATAATCTCCTCCAACAAAGTCATTGGATCTACTTTGAGTGATCCGCATCTATAGTATATAAAGAATAAAATTGAAGAAAGAAATCCAGAAATGGTAAATGGAGGAGGAAGATGTTACTATTATAGATTGTTTTAAACATTACCCTTAACATTGCAATGGGTCAGGGGGAGGGGAGGGGGGAAGGTATCCATTTCTTTTTATGTATGTATCCATATTCTCAGTTTTGTTCAGTGTGCTTGCAATTTTCAAAATATTTGGATGGCCCATAGAGTCTCCAGTCATGCTTCTCGATTAACTTAGTATAATCTTGGAGTTGCTTCTCAAATTCATTTTTGTTCAAATGTACCTGTGATTGCGGCACATGCTTTCTTGCTGCTAAATCAATAGGCATGATAGAATAGCTGTAGTAAAAGAAAAGCTTAATTTGAATAGTTTGACAGTGCTAAAAGAAATGATAAAAAAAGAGAAGTCAAAGATAAATTAGGAAGAACAAAAAGTATGTATTGTTAAATTGAATTATTTTTTATTTAATCATTATGTGTGAACATTAAAAAATAAAAACGATAGATGCATTCTTTATAAAACTAACCTTGCTCGAGCACGCACTTATCCCGTAGAGAATGAAGCGCTACGGACATTTTAAAGATAGTTGATAAATAATACAAGAACATGAATCCATATCACCTTGTTAACCCTAAATTCATATTAAACGCTAAATGTTATTTGAGAAGAAAACCATTTTTAGAGTAGCAATCCTTCAAGGACTCAAAGACAGCTAATTACGTCGGTGTACCAAAACTAAAGAAACCAAAATCTAAAATGAAGTTGCTATATAGGTAAAAAAAAAATACTTCCCTTTTGAATACTGAAAATTTTCCAAGCCTATTAGAATTTTAAACAGTGGAGTTATACGCACACAACAAAAAAAACCACAAGAAAGAGTTCAGAAACAATATAATAAATTCAGCACTTCGATCATTCCGTTACGTGAAAACTCAAGGCTAGATTAAGGGGCATGTGAAAGTCGCCGAGGTAAAATAAAAAACAAGATCAGATTTATCTATAGAAACTATATTGGGGTCAAGAAAAAAGTCATTAAGAGAAAGAAAAATGACGCTGAGTATTTATTTTTGAAAAGGGATATAGAAGTCATTGCCTAAAGTGTTAAAGCAGTTCCACTTAAATAAATCATTTATCATTAATAACAAAAAATGAAGACAATTTCAGTTTATTCGCCGTTTAGTGTTAAATAATAGTTAGCAATTTATTATTAGTATCAGTATTTACAGTATAAAAACAGAAAGACTAGGGTTGACTCTTCCACTTTCCAGATGGTGACATTTAGCCACAAGAAACACCATCGTCAAGCTCATCAATTACTGGGTCCATGTCATCCCACACATCTTCACCTAACGTAGCGGCTCTCTCTGGCTGCTTAGTGTTCACAATCCTACTATACGAAACAACGTTATCGCATAGAGGAAGCTGATTATCAAAGAGAATGCAATTAACCCTCTGCTTGGTATAGATGGAAAGTAACAACTTTCCTGTAGGAACATGGTACACTCTAGCCTTCCTGTCTAGTCCTGCCACACCTAACAATTGATGTCCTGCCGGGTGCTTGGTCATACTTCGAACGCTCCCGACCCCACCACGAAGTTTCGCTCTTGAAGTAAACCCTCTTCGAGTGTCATATAGATGAACATCACCGCTAGCTTCACCAATGAGAAATTTGTTTGAATTCCATTGAAGCATCCTTGTTGGGCGTCTTTCAATTTCTCTGTTAATTTCAAACTCCTGTACAGGTTTTGTGCTAGAGCGACGATCGTAAAAACGAACTTGATAATATGCAGTACAGGTAGAAAACACGAAGGGATTGATGACACATGTACCTGTAATAAAAGTCGGGTAGGGAACATCTAGAATATGATCGCGTACATTGCAACCCTTAAAGACAAGAGAAGGACTAGAATCGGCTCCTAAATCATAAACGCACAACTCATTCTCTTTACCCCCTATCGCAACCATTCCATACTTTCTATGAATGTGAACCGCATCAACAGGGCCGTTTGCTTTAAAAATGCTTGGTGACTCTAACTCAGGGTTCGTAATCAGAATAGATGCATCATTGGTCACCATAATCAATTTACCTTTAACAAATGACATAGCATTGGGTAAAGCAGAAACATGCTCAATATTTTGTGATCTGATCTTTCGTCCCTGATTTGTGTCAAGAAGGGTTAGAGCAGAATCTTGAGTTGAGAAAGCAACTAATGATGTCGAACTACCGACCCAACACATTCCCATAATCCCTCTTTTACGATTTTGCTCTCCATAGGAATAAGCCAAAGTCGCTCCACTACTGTTCGCGATGTTCCAGACTTTCAATAAGCCAGTTTCATCCCCTGTGATACAAGCCATTGCAATTATATACAGAAAAAAACTAAGTAAATAAAGTGCCAAAATGAAATAGATAGAAATGATCATGTGATTTTTTAAAAAGGTACAAATCATCCGCTACAAAAGAAATGGTAAATTTCAATGAGTATATCAGAAGAATTCAGTTTGATTCCATACTCCCTTAAAATATGATATTTCCCTAAGTTCCTTCAACATTTTTCTAGCTCCAAAAACTTCTGCAAATCTTCTTCTTTAATAGATAAAAGAGTTGCAGATTCAAGTAGAATTTTCTGCCGCTTTAGGGTATCGATGAGTTTGTTCTGTTTTTTTATGCAGCCAACCATTTCCTCATTATGTTTTTCTAAGGATTCAACCTTTTTCAAAAGCTTTTTTACCTCATCACTAACTATATCTGGTTCAATATCGGAATTTTTAGAGGTCAGATACTTCAAGCCTTTGCGTTTTCCTGATTTTGTAATAGAACTATCAGAAGTCAATTGATGCTGCAAGATCAAAATCTCCTTTTTTTGAGCAGAAACTATATTTTCGGAAATACACAGCTTTCTTTCAAGATCTTCCGTTTTTAGACATTCATTGGAAAGATTTTGCAACGCAGTCTGAAGATCCTTATGAATATTCTCGAAAGCAGCACTTGAATGATTTTGCCGATGCTCAAAGCCTTCCCTGGATATTGACATCAATAATAATAGCAAAAAACTTAGAAGCTGGTGTTTGTTTGAAAAATTTACTCACAAAAAAAAGAGATGAAAAAACTTTCGAAACGGAATAATGTTTCGTTAGAGAAACAGATACTAAAAAAAAACACCGCGGATCGAATCGAAAAAAAAAACTAAAAGGAATCGAAGCACCGCTCACAAAAAAACACAAAGCTACCTTTCCAAATAAATTTATCCATAAGTCGACTTGTAAAACAATTATCAAGGTGCAAAGGTTACCTATAGACTTCACCTATGGGGGATAAAACCGGAACGCGGCCACCCATCTTTCCCACTTGCGCCGGAACGCCTTCTTACCCATAGGCCGCGAAGTTGGACTGGGGTAAACATAGGTTGAAAATTTACCCCATATACACCAAAATAAAAGGGCGCTGAAAGATACTTTTAGGTCGGGGTTCCCTTGGCATTCGGGGGAAAAACGGCGTAAACACATTTGTTAGAAAATCCGTTACCATATTCTATGGGTTTGAATTTGTCCAAAAAAAAACGCACTGCTCGAATCCCCTCCCCCGCCGCCAAATAATTATTTGAAAAAGACGTAAGCGAAGAACACTTGCTGATGGCTAGGGGTAAAACTTTCAAAACTTTAGAATAGCGAATGGCAGCAAAAGATAAAAAGAAGACAAAATAATAAAAAACGAAGCGCCAAAAATGGAGGTTAAACAACCCAAATTGTGTTTCTCATTTTTTTTTACCCAAACATGGAAAGAAAACGTGCATAAAAAAGGGTTGAGTGGTGAATTCGTTTTAAAACGATAACATTATCCCATTATTAAAATAAATTTACCCAATTCAAATAAAAACAATCATAGTTACCAATATTTAAAGAACTTAACAAAAATAACGAATCAAAAAGAAATCATAAAACCTATTCCACCCAAAACTGTTTTCCCCATAGGGCCGAACATCCCCCCCCC